TAATTAGACTGAATCATGACTCCTTTCTTGGAGCAGTGGTTTCCATAAATGACCAACCTGAAGACCAGTGTGAACTGGCTGTAAAACATTCTCCCCTTAGGAACTGATTGAAATGCAGATTCTTGGACTGCACGGAAGAAGATCTCATAAATCTGAGCGCAGACATACAGAACACAGGTTTAACATGACAGTGATGGATGGGGACCCTGGAATCAACACTTCTAACAAGCTCCTAGTTGATTTTTTTTTTAATTTTTAAAAAAGATTTACTTATTTATTTGATAAAGAGAGACCACAAGTAGGCAGAGAAGCAGGCGGGGGGCAGGGGGCAGCAGGCTCCCTGCTGAGCAAAGAGCCCAACTCCAGGGCTTGATCTCAGGACCCTGAGATCATGACCTGAGCCGAAGACACAGACTTAACCCACTGAGCCACCCTGGCGCCCCAAGTTCCTGGTTGATTTTGATGATCCTGACGAATTGCCAGGTTGGGAGCTGCTGCCCCAGAGAACCTGGCACAGAGCTCTGTACCTAGAATGTGCTTCCATCTTGTTAGCTACATGCCTCTGGACAGGTAATGAACTTGATCATAACATTACGCTTGTATTATACCTCTGTTCTGTTTCCCTAAATGAGGAAAGAATAGTTAAATATTTGAGTACATAATAAGTGTCAGATTCTGTGCCTATTTAGATCCATTATCTACTCCTTATAGTAACCTTTTGAAGTAAAATGGTGTTCCCTGGACTTAAGAATCTGAGCATCTAAAGGAGTTTTTAGTGCATAGCGGTTGAACTAGCTGAGCAATAACCTGACTTTTGACTTAATGGGCTCTAAGTCCATAACCTCTCCATTTGCCAGAAGGCATAGACTGGTGGCTTGTATCTAGTTTGCAGATAGGCTTTATATGAACACTACAATGTTTAAAAATTAAAAAAAATTTTTTTAACATTTCTAAATTGGGTATTTTGTATTAAAATCTGGGTTAGATTTCTCTTTAGGGGTTAAAAAAAAAAGATATGGTAACACGGGGGCCCGCCTTCCTGCATGGCAACAATCAAATGGAACTTTCCAATGGATGTGTGCCCTAGAACCCACCACCATAGTCCCTAATACTCCCCATTCTCATCCACGGCTGAACCTGTTTCTCTTATACTCTGGTCTGAAACCGGGGCCTTACAGGCCTTAGAGTTTGCAATTCTTGCACTCTTATTTACGGTCTTGCTTTTCATTGCTCAGGAAGTTTGGCAAACCTAAAGACATCCTCTTTTTATTTGCACTGTCTTGCATGAGTCTCTGACCATAGGGGTGGGTGTGTACACTTCTTTGTGATGTCAATACTAAGGAACCTGCTGGTACATCATCATGGAAACTAGGATCCTCTGTTCCCTAAGCTACACATTCTGGTTCTGGACTAGTAAAATCCTATATGCAACCCTTAAAATAGTTGGGAGAAAATGTGGCAATTCATCAATTTTCTTCAATTCAACTGTGTCTACAATTACGAAAGGAGCCCACAGGAAGCAAAGCCACCAAGTGATAGGGAGATTGCATGTAGAAATGCTACCCTCAGCCAGAGAGGCTAGGGGGCCAAAAACCTCCCAATTTATTAAGGGCCACGCAGAAGCTAGAACCATAGGCTGGTTCTTTTCAAGGTTGTCCTGTAGGGTACCTGGGTGGCTCAGTGGGTTAAGCATCTGCCTTCAGCTCAAGTCATGATCCCAGGGTTCTGGGATCAAGTCCTGCAACAGGGGTCCCTGCTCAGGTCTGCTTCTCCCTCTCCCTCTGCTTCTCTGTCAAGTAAATAAGTAAAATCTTTTTTAGAAAATTGTCATTTAAAGAGCCAGAGACACCAACTACACTTTAGGAGCCGTAATTGATTGACTGATTTTTTAAGAGACATTTATTTGTTTGGGGGGTTGGTGAGCACAGAGGGAGAGTGAAGGGGAGAAGATGACTCCCTGCTGAGCACAGAACCTGAAGACGTGGGGCTCAATCCCAGGAGCCCAAGATCATGACCAGAGCTGAAGGCAGACTCTTAACTGAGCCACCCAGGAGCCCTATTTTCGATGACTTTCTGGATTCTTTTTGTTTCCTTAAACAAGCTACAACTGCTGCTGATTCAACATGTTTCATTCTATTACATTTTTATTTTTAAATTTTTATTTATTTTTTTAAAGAATTTTTTTAGGGTTTTATTTATTCATTTAACAGAGAGGAAGAGTAGAAGCGGGGAGAGCAGCAGGCAGAGAGAGAGAGAGGAGGAAGCAGGCTCTCCGCTGAGCCAGGAGCCAGATATGGGACTCGATCCCAGCACCCTGGGATCACGTCCCAGCACCCTGGGATCACGACCTGAGCCAAAGGCAGCCGCTTAACAAGCTGAGCCAGCCAGGTGCCCCTCTATTACATTTTTAATGTGTATTCCTGTTTTTGAGAATTTGATCAAAGAGCTATTAAATGCTTTTAGCATTAGAATAGCAAGAGTAAAAAAACCTCTTGGCAAAACATGATTGAGTTTCACAGGGGTAAGAGTCCACATTCATTGAGCATTTACCAAGGAACCCACAGGCTTTTGTACACTTCATTTACTTAAGATAAGGCCCAGAGGTAGGCATTCTATTTTTAAAGATAAACAAAGAGGGACTAAGGGTGAAGGACCCAGGGCCAACTGCTTCCTTGGTGACCTCCCAAAGAGACAACCCAGCGATATCCCTGGTTTCACAGCGCCCCCTAGAAAGCCAGGATCATTCGAGGCATTATTCAATGGGAAGTCTACCTCTTCACCTTATCTCTTAATCTTCAAGAAAACTGTTAAGATCTCCTTCATCAGGTCTCCATTCACCACTACCTCTCATACACACCCTCTCCCCCACACCAGTGCCTTCCAATGTCCTAATTAGGGATGTGAGCACCTGGTCACAGCAGGGATCTTGTTCTACCTTCAGCGGTTTCCATTCTTGGTTCTTTCAGAGATGGAGAAATCCACTCTATTGTCAGGTAGGTATTATTCAAGTAGGAGAATTAAACAGGGTTACAGAGAGAAATGCTGAAAAATCTGACTTTTCTGGTGTTTACTTGTATAGAAGAAAAACAGCACATAGATGCATCCACAGTATTTAATTTGTTTGGATAATAGTTACAGATAAACAGGTACACTCCATATACAATTACCAATACTTTTTTATACAGTTCGTATTTCAGTACATCAACACTATTTTATTTACACTCTATTTATGTACATTAACATCTTTCTAAAGTCAGTGCATTGTCAACAAGTTTTATACAGTAATTTACAAGGTGAATGTAGTTAATAGTTAATAAATTTTCTGCTAGTCATGAATTAAAAAATTAATTACAACCAATATAACAAACACAGATCAAACAACATTAGTAGATTGTGCTACCTGCTTAAATAAAACATCTGTAAGGAAATTATTTTAAATCTTCCACTTTTTCATGGGACTTGTCCAGGTAGAAATGGACAGATTTTTATATACTGAAATCATGAACTATAAAGCCTGTATTTTGTCTGACTTCATCATATTTACTATTTAGGCCATTCCTTCTTACTTGTAATTACAGTCTTTTTCTGAATAGGGTTTCAACTTACATATCCATTTAAAACAACCTTTCCAAATGCTCTGAGAAGAACTGGATAATAACCGGCCTCAGGTATCAGAACACAAATGCTCAATTACATTGGTACCTACTATCTGTGAGGAAGGGAAGTTAATGAAATCTGACAATTAATGAGAGTTACTTCCAAGGTCCAGATGAATGAAAAAAGACTGGGGAAAAGGGGAAATATTTACTTCATATATATTTAAAAACAACACAGGGGGAAAAATGATGCTTGAAATAAATAACACTTATACTTTTGTTCCAGTTTTGAATTATCAGAGAAAAAAAAATTAAGTGAGCAAAGAAACATAACTTTTGATGACCACTACTGTGAAATTATTAAAAGAAAGAAAAAAAAGACACACACACACACACACACACACAGAAGGACAATACAAACAAAATAAAAGCTTGCTTCCTAAACCCACCAATTAAATTAAAAATACACACTATCAGTGCCTGGGATGAGTTTTGTTTTTTTAAGTTTAATATGATGGGGCAAAATACCCCCTATTCAAGTTAATTTATAGCCCTTACAGCCATCAAATATGAACATATTTTTAAAAGTTCAGTTGCATGTATTTTTTTAAAGTGCAAAACAAAGAAACAAAGAACAAACAGCCCCTAGTTGTAAAACGCCATCTACCTTTGATGTCACTTTCCTTCTCAGAAGCTCTTGTGCAATGTGGGCATGAGAGATGGTGCAAATATTGGCACAACTACTCTACCGTGCTTCAGCATGGGGGGGGGGGTCCATTTCTGAGGACACCTGAAGTGTCCTCAAGGTAAGATGCCTCTAAGTGCAGGGCTACTTTAGCTGGGTTTCTCCCCTACAGGGTCTCCGACCACGGCCCTGGGTAGAAGGCACACAGCTCTTAAGAGAGTCTCCCTTTCGAACTGACCACTTCTATATGCCTCTGCCACGAACGACTGGTTGTGTCTCAAACACGAACACAGCAACAGAAACGAAAAGCAAGAAAGGCATAGATAGAAAAAAATAGAAAAACGTTGTGTCCGTGCCAGAAGAATCCTTTGCACACCTTCTAATCTTGCTTTCTCCATCTTGTCAATATAATGGAATAAAACTTCAGGAAAAAGGAGGTAGCATATCATGTCGTCCCCAGACAACACTACAATTTTTTGTTTGACTTTGACTCCAAGGAAATTCTTAGCATTTTGTTATGGTTATTGGTAAACTCTACACTCACTACATGTTTGTTTATATCTGGACAAGCACAATTTAGTTCTTATTTGGTCCCAGGTGGCTGGTGCCAAACCCTTTTGTTTACAGGCTAATGGTGGGCTCTGCCTGAAAAGTTCTCTACCAGAGAGCTTGTGTGAGACACTTCCAAACCAAAGTATTACTACTGTTATGTTAACTGCTATTTTAATTAGGCTTTTTATTTTGTGCTTCAGGGTCACAGGATAAAATAACTACATTTAGCTTGCCTTTCAGCGACGCTTCTGCCAAATGTCAGCTACGGGGCACCGTCTCCCTCACCACCAGCCTGTCTAGCAGCCAGAGGGGCAGCTCTACTGTAACACACAGTACTTTTTGTAATCGGACTCAAAGTCTTCATCCATGCTGCTTGTGTCTGCCATCTTTTTGCCATCGATCTTTGGCAGAAATTGTGCATAGTCTATCCCCTGCTGCTCATAGAAAAGGATGTAGGCAGAGTCGGTGTCAATTTCATCAGGGTGAAGTTCCTGAAGGGGCAAGAAAAACCTTTAATAAAAAAGCCGTCCCTATGCTGGCTCTTAATCCTAGCTAGGGAAGGGAGCACCAACCCTCTTTAATTACTGAGCCAGACTGCTTCCAATCAATTCGATATTGTGGCTGCCTGACACTGGCCCTAAAATAAGTCCTATTATTCTCAATGTTTGCTTTGGGGAAAATATTATGACCACTGACAAAAGAATAACAAAAACCCATCACATCCTAATAGCTCAAAAGATAAGAACTTTTTCTCATTAACCAATACCTTCTTTTTCCTCACCATTCATGTTTTCATTCTCTACTCTGCACATCACTTTTGCTCCTTTAATACTGAAGGGACCTATATACTGACTCTAACTAGATTTATTTCCTGTTTGGGACAAAGTCCATTATTTAAACAAATGTCCCCTAGATCTGTTGACATTTCTGCTTCTTTTATTTAAAGACTGGGGATATTTACCTTACAGCTGCTGTCATTGTAACAGTACCACTTGCTGTTTGGGTTTTTGGCATAAGTGACATAATGGCCCCCACCCAGAATTCCTGAATGGCACTGCAAGAGAGAAGAAAGTAGACATATGTTAGTGGTTAACAGCAGTCTGGCCAGGGCGTGGTACCAGAACCCAATCAGGAAAACAGCAATCACTTAAGTGATTAAGAAAAATGTTTTCAAATCACCTACTGTTTTCTAAAAACAAAACAGAAGAGTCAAAATTTAAAAGCTCCAAATCCTACCATTTTATAGTTGTAACTATTTTTTGAAAGGCAAAAATTCCTTAAGTGTACATAACTGTGAATGCCTTGAACCCATGACTCCAATTATGATTATGTGATTATCCCCTGCTAACTTTGTCTATCACCAAGTTCAATGCCTAGCAAATAAGCAGGCCCTGAAAAAAATGACTGATGAATGAAGATGAATGAACCACAGAGAAATGCCAATCATGCTGCAAACCATGTAACAAATCACTTACCGAAATTGCATATAGATTATAAATAGGCTTCACATGAACCTCTTCTCTTTGGTCATCAGTGCTGTCTTCTTCACTGTGGTTTTCAAGCTGACCATTGCTGTAGCCATTGCCACATGCCTCATGCTCATAAAGAAATCCATTGGCCAGAGCTACTTCATGGTCCTGAGGGGTGACCAGTTCAGTCTGGCTGCCCCCCAGCATGTGCCCTCGGCTCAAGGCATCAGCCAGCTCACACACTTGTCCAGCCCCATTCTCTTTGCTGGCATCCAAGTTCTCCTTACTACTTGACAGTTTATTCTTGCTGCCGATCTGGGGTAACCGGAGCCTCCCTTTGCTCCTCCCTAAAGTCCTAGGGCTACTGTTAGGGCTGCTATTTTTGCTGGAGGGACAGCTAGTTCCGCTTCTTCTTGTTGAAGAAGGTGAACCTGTGAAAAGAAGAGAAGGAAAAGATTCATAAATCCAAATGCCACAAGTTTAACCAGCCACCAAATGCTAATTTTGAAGCCAACTTCACAAGTGCACACATAAAGGCAAATACAGGGGTGCTCTGACCAGCTACTTTTTATTCCTATTTTGTAGCCAGTAAGTTACATTCTTGTCTTCCTCAGGCCAAGCTCCCACAGGCAGCAATGTCCTGAAAACGTAAAGTACCGTGTAGGGACTTAAAAAGAGCAGAGAGATAAAAATAAAATAAAAACAGCAGAAAGATGTACATGAGACTAATAAAACACTGTTTATTAACTATACTAGATTTAAAATAAAGTAAATAAAATAAAGACAAACAGTAGAAAGATTAACAGGTCAGATTCAGGTCAAAACAGACAAGGAGACTAAGACATATTACAAATACATATCCTCCTTCGTTACATTAGATTAAAAAACACGATCACCAATTATTAAGCACCCCCTATTGCTAGGCACAGTACTGGGAACTCTCTCTACTATCTCTACCTCTCACAACAATCTCGTAAGTTAGTGGGTCTCAAACTTTTTGGTCACAGCCTCCCTCACCTCCTTATATACTCTCAAAAATTGCTGAAGACCTGTAGAACTTTTGTTTATGTGGGTTATATCTATCAGTATTAATCATATTAGAAATTAAAACTGAGGAATTAAAAAATATAATACATAAGCACATATTTCACTGATGTATCATCACATATCATGGTGCTCTGACTCCATTACACATTTGGGGAACAAAAGCTGAAACGGTGAATAATGACTTAGTAGTTTTTATGACAATCATTCTGCTCCTCCAGGCCCTCTGAAAGGGTCTCTCAGAGACCCTCTAGGGGTTCCCAGACTACACCGTGAGAACCTTTGCTGTAGGAACAAGGATGACAACTATCATTCATGATCACCAGAGATATTAGGCATATATGGTGCTTCGCTCCTGATGTGACTCTGGGAACTTTTATGAATGAGGAAACAGATTTAGGGAGGCTGTATCTCTTGCTAAAAGTCACACAGGTGACTCAAACCTAGAAAGGTCTGACTCCAGGTGGGTTCCTTCTACCTCATCAAGCTGCAGAGTGGAAGGCAGAGGGAAAAAAGAAGCCTACAGGGGTCCCAGGAAAGCCCCTCTGAGGGTGAGATCTGGGTGCTGTGAGTCCCCCAGGCTTCCTCACCCTTAGGGCTACTGACGATGTTTGCACTGAGTGAAGATGGGCTCTTGCTCAGGAGGACATCCTCTTCGCCAGCCGAATTCAGAGCATCTGCTTTCTTCACATCTCCTCCTGGAACCCTGGGCTCGGAGAGGTCGTCCCCCTGGGGTGTGAGTGGTTTACGCTGACAGAGAGCCGGGTCTCTTGGTACCAAAAAAGCACTAGGGTCAAAACTTTCACGAGGAAATTTAACAATTTTCTGTGATTTTATCCATCGGCCATTTACAAACTGAAATCGTTTAAGGTGAATAATCTGGAGAAGCAAAGGCAGAAAAAAAATATATTAAAGGGTTCAGAAGATACAAAATTACATTTAAAACCCCAAGTCTGGGGCACCCTGGCTCAGTGGGTTCCGGCCTCTGCCTCTGGCTTGGGTCGTGACTCAGGGTCCTGGGATCGAGCCCCACATCGGGCTCTCTGCTCTGCGGCAAGTCTGCTTCCTCCTCTCTCTCTCTCTGCCTGCCTCTCTGCCTACTTGTGATCTCTGTCAGGTAAATGAATAAAATCTTTAAAAGAAAAAGCAAACCAAAAAAACCCCTCAAGTCTAATTCATGTGAATGTTCAAGAATCTACAAGGTTTTTTTCCCGAAAAGAATGTATTTTATTATGTAATGGAGTTATCAGTGGGGCCACTGGCCTTTAGATACATAGGTAACATGATAATCTCCGTAATTTCATACCCTGTGCATATCCTAAATTCTTCCCAAATTTCTGCAACATTGTAGGGGCCCATATTTGCATGTCTTCCCTTGCTTCCTAGGCCTGTGACCCAAACTGACCTTTCCCTTTTTCAAACATCAGAGAAGACCCCATCACAAATATACTTCTGTCATGAAGACAGAAGACTATACTGAATGTTTTGAAGAAAAATGGATGAAACTTACCCAATCTCCAGTAGGAGGCCTCTCATTTCTTACCATATCCTTTAGTTATTACCAGGGAGTTTCACTGTCCTAAAAAGCATAAGAATCTCCCTTTTCCTTTGTGACTTCGCTTTTCTTTTTCTTTTCTTTTTTTTTTTTTTAAAGATTTTATTTATTTATTTGACAGACAGAGATCACAAGTAGACAGAGAGGCAGGCAGAGAGAGAGAGGGAAGCAGGCTCCCTGATGAGCAGAGAACCCGATGCGGGACTCGATCCCAGGACCCTGAGATCATGACCTGAGCCGAAGGCAGCGGCTTAACCCACTGAGCCACCTAGGCGCCCTCGCTTTTCTTTTTCAAGAGCAACAAATTCCTCTAATCTTACACAGTTTATTATACAACTTAGTGTGGGCACAGATCTTTGAGTGGCTACCTCTACCCTAAATGTTAGTAAAATGCTAACAATTTACTGTGTATATAAAGAGAAACCCTTCCATATACTGGCATACTGGATCTACAGAAGCCCAACAAACTCTCAACGTAACATATATTCTTTATTATTCTTTAAAGACATAAAAAACATAGTTTTTATATAAATGCCTTTACTGCATATGTTCTGTGTGATTATTATTCAGGTATATATAATTATCAAAACTCCTCAAACTGGGGGTGCCTGGGTGGCTCAGTCATTAAGCATCTGCTTCAGCTCAGGTCATGATCCCAGGGTCCTGGGATTGAGCCCCACATTGGGCTCTCTGTTCGGCAGGAAGCTTCTCCCTCTCCTACTCCCCCTGCTTGTTTTCCCTCTCTCAATGTGTCTCTCTCTGTCAAATAAATAAATGAAATCTTTAAAAAACCCACAAAACTCATCAAACTAGACATTTAAAATCTATACATTTAATTTCTTGTTAATTACACCTCAGTTAAAAATTAACTTTCTCCCTTCCCACCTACCTCTCCCAAGCCTGCCCCGTGACCCTTTTCCCCTCTTCTCAGAGTTCCCAACCCTGGAATTAGCTAATTTATGTCATTAATTTCCTGTTGCATCTTTTCCTCTGAAGTTGTTCTGGTCCAAGGAAAGAAAACCCACATTTACAGACTCAAAGAGTAGTAGGAAGAAGACATGAAGAAAAAAATACACACAAGGTCTGGTTAAAATATACCGGTGCCTTATAGTCACATTTGATATGATACTTCCACCCTTAAGGAAAAACACTTCCTTAAATGAATGTGAAGATCTGGCACTTCAAACTCTCCTGACAAGCAACAGAAGCATCTTCTCTATGAGGCAAAAGGCAGAAGTACAAGAAGTACACGTACAAGACACAGGCCCCAGTGCACCTGTGTGTTTGTGCTGTGGCCAGGTGACCAAACACAGTGGGACCAGAGATCGGGCTCAGCTGCTCTTTTAGGGAAGGGCCTAAGCTTCTCTCTCTACACCCAGAAGTGCTTTCACCTTCTCCTGAAGTTCGAATTCACCAGGAGGCACAACCTGCAGTGTTTCTCACATACTACATGGAACTATAGTTAATGGTCTGTTTGACTTCTCTCTCCTTCTAGTCTGTATGCTCCTTCATAGCAGCAACTGGCAGTAATAATATGTGCAGAACAATTAATCTGGGTTTAACACATAAACCTTGCATAGCCAAAGTGTTTTGAACACTGTCACAGGAAAGGTCTTTTTATTCTCTAAAGTCATAAAATTCCTATTTGTGCATGACTTCCTTCCTTTATGCCAGGCTCCTGCTCTCTCAGAGGTAGAGCTGTAACATACCAGGATCGGGGGAAGCCTCCAGAGATCCAGCTTCTTGGTTGCCAAGCAGTGGGTCTTACACTTGGAACAGTAGTACATCTCATTTTCCCCCAGCTCCTCCTCACTGGTGAAAGCACGGAGACAGCTGTCCAGGTTGATGGGCTCAGCTTGTGCTCGCCGACTCTGTTCCACACTTTCATGCTCATCGACAACCTGCAAATGGAGAAGGGGTGGGAGGGAAGGAGGGAGTTTAAAATGGTCCCATGGCTAGGCATCATCTGTTAGGTGACTGATTCTCATTTTATTCTACATGAGGAGAAAGAAAACATGACTCAAATGAGTCTGAGCAAATGCAGTGTTTGTACATTTACTTCCAAAATCACATCAATAACATCCTGGATCAAATTTCTATTTATATGACCATAACAGCTTTTCTTGAATATTCTCTGAACTCTTCAAAATGACAAAAACAAAGAATTGCCTGTTCGTTTTACAATTTTTTGATTATAATGATGTATTTTATCTAAAACAGTATCATTTCAACATGTGATCAATACAAGAATTATTGATGACATATTTTAGAGTCTTTTTTACTAAGTCTTTGGAATCTACAATCCTCCTTAACTTAAATCAGGCACCTCTAAGTGTTCAACAGCCATATGCGACTAGTGGCTACTGCACCTCTATTTTACAATTTTGAAATCCTAAAACAGCTTACATGTGCGCTCACCCTCAAGTCAGGGGTGCTTAAGTTAAGCAATTAATTTTCAACCAGAAAGACATTATTAGCAGGCTGCAGGCTTTAAAGAGGCTAGGAGAAATATCACTGGAACACAAAGATCTGGATTAGATCAGAAAGGGTACAGAAAAACTCGCCATAGAAGGGAACATATGAGAGCACGAAACCCCACAGGATAGAACTCATCTGCATACTGGTGCCATGTAACACAGTTATCAGAATACCAAGTGTATCATCTGTCTCCTGCCTCCTGGGGCCTTTTTATCTAAGACGGCAATAAAGAGATGGCAATAAAAGCAAGAGCGGTCTCAAAAAGTGCTGAACTTTGTTGAGAAGGCCCTTAATACCTGCCCAAACCTCTCTGGTCATATTAACCAGCACACTAGGTTCTGGAGCGAGAAAGACATACATGTGAGAGAGAGAGCAGAGGTGGACAGGTGTGCAAGTATGTGTGTTGGAGGAAGTGTGGGAGATCAGGAAGAAGGAGAGGAGGAGGTACCTAGAATGCAACAGAAAAGGAAGAATTTTGTCCTCTTCCATTCTTGGTTGCCACTTAACAGCAACCCAGAACCACAGCGGGTGACACACAGCATCAGGACTACATATGCTACTGGGAGACTTCATTCAGTGATCTTTTCATCCCAGGTCTGGACACCAAGTCCAACAATAGGTGTGTCTTTTTCTGGCAAAGGGCACACACATGTCCATTTACTGAACTTATTACTCACCCCATCCAGAGGTAAATTTGTTCTCTGTGTCTGAGGCAACTTCCCTTCTGTTTTCCTTCCTGAACTTATGATGGGAATACTGAGCTCCCTAGCTTACAATCTGGCATGGCTCAGGACATTCGGTTTACAAGAGGTTGTCATGTGTGACTTTTTACCTACATGAGAGAATAGCTTAGTCACAGGCTGTCAAATGCTGGGGCTGACCATGCAGTTAATGGTTTCAGCATTGCATCACCAGCCATTTCTAAAGATCTGTAAAAAGGGGAACTTAGAAAAAAGTTTTTTTTTCTTCCAGAATGAGAAATGTGGCTACTGACTTCTTTTCTGATACTAACTTTCATCATCTTTAGAGCTGGTCATTCGAGAGAAAAACTGACATGCTTCAAAAGAAAATATGTTGCATCATGGTTGCTAGAATCAGAGTAGAAAAACAGTAATATTCTTTTCTCTTAGCTGGTGAAACATTATCTCTATCAGGGATGCTTTATGGACAACCACAAATTACAGGAAGCTAGTAATGAATGTTGATCTTTATTGGTTATATTTCTTGTGGAACACACAGGCTACTGGAGACAGGGAGGAAGGCTGATTAAAAAAAAACCCAATATCAATAAAATTTCCCTAAATGACAAAGATTCGCTTTTTACCTCTTGGGATCCATTCCCAGATCCTCTACCACTATTCGAATAATTTAAATCACTCACTGGCACCCTCTTTCTTCTTCTGCTTGAAAGCGCATTCTTAACACAAAACATAAAGAATAAAGTCATGGCTTCCTCACATGATAAGACTATTAGAAAGAGGGAGACATAAGAAGCTATCTAGTTCAACTACCTACTTAGGAATATAAAGTCTAAACAAGTGAAAAAGAAAAAGATTAAGAGCAATTGCCTTTTTTCCTATTTACCAAATAAAACATTTACAAAGAAATTTTGGAGAAGATGGAAAATATAAAAAGGCAGGGAACCTTTTATTCTTTAATTTATTTGTTTATTTATTTATTTTAAAGATTTTATTTATTTATTTGACAGAGATCACAAGTAGTCAGAGAGGCAGGCAGTTTTGGGGGAGCAGGCTCCTTGCTGAGCAGAGAGCCTGATGTGGGGCTCAACCCTAGGACCGAGATCATGACCTGAGCCAAAGGCGGAAGTTTAACCTACTGAGCCACCCAGGTGACCCTTCTTTTATTTTTTTTAAAATGCAGGCTCCATGCTCAGCGTGAAGCTCAATGCAGGGCTTGAACCGAGATCATAATCTGAGCTGAAACCAAGAGTGGTTTTATATATATATATATATATATATATATATATATTTTTTTTTTTTTTTTTTTTAAAGATTTTATTTATTTGTCAGAGAGAGAGTGTACACACAAGCAGGCAGAGAGGCAGGCAGAAAGAGAGGAGGAAACAGGCTCCCTGCCGAGCAAGGAGCCCGATGCGGGACTCGATCCCAGGACCCCAAGATCATGACCTGAGCCGAAGGCAGCGGCCTAACCAACTGAGCCACCCAGGCGTCCCCAGATATATTTTTTAAAGATTTATTTATTTATTTAGAGAGACAGAGAGTGTGTGAGGGGGGAGAGGCAGAGGGAAAGGGAAGGAAAGAATCTCAAATCTCAAGGTACCCTGTCCCCTTTTATATTCTTTTTTTTTTTTAAAGATTTTATTTATTTATTTGACAGGCAGAGATCACAAGTAGGCAGACAGGCAGGCAGAGAGAGAGGAAGGGAAGCAGGCTCCCTGCTGAGCAGAGAGCCCGATGCGGGGCTCGATCCCAGGACCCTGAGATCATGACCTGAGCCGAAGGCAGAGGCTTAAACCACTGAGTCACCCAGGCGCCCCCCTTTTATATTCTTAATACAAAGATAAACACTGTCAAAATATTGGCAGATTTTCTTGTCCTTTTCCTAAATAGTATTCCTTTATATCAAGTAGATTTTTCAGTATACGCAATTTTATACCTTGCTTTAAAAAAAAAAAAAAACAACAAACCATGACATCTTTAAGTATCTTCCCATACATGACAGTAAAAAAAAAAAATCCCTGGTAATGGGGCACCTGGGTAGTCTGCTAAGCACCCAATTCTTTGTTTCAGCTCAGGTCATGATCTCAGGGTCATGAGACTGAGCCCCATGCAGGGTTCTGAGGTTGGCGTGGAGTCTGCTTGAGACACTCTCTCCCTCTCCTTCATATACTTGCTCTCTCTCAAATAAATACATCTTTTAAATACCACCCCCTCCAAAACTCCTGGTAATCACTGTTTTCAATGACTGTATAATATTTTATCCAGCTAGGGGCGCCTGGGTGGCTCAGTGGGTTAAAGCCTCTGCCTTCGGCTCAGGTCGTGATCCCAGGGTCCTGGGATCGAGCCCCGCATCGCATCGGGCTCTCTGCTCAGCAGGGAGCCTGCTTCCCTTCCTCTCTCTCTGCCTGCCTCTCTGCCTACTTGTGATCTCTGTCAAATAAATATTTTATCCAGCTAATACACTATGCTCTATTTAGCCATTCCTGTAATGTGGGACAAATACAAGTTGTTTCAAATTTTTCTACTATTCTAAAAAATATTAATGATGAAGATCTATCAGCAAATTACAGAGTATTTCCCTAGAATCAATTCCTAGAATCACTGGGATAAAATAACATAAAATATATGGGTAAAAATGTCAATTTAAACCAAGGGATCTCCTTTGTCTACGTGACTCCCCAAGCACACGCAGAAATCATGGGTAGGAAGAGAAATTATAAAGAAAGAATTAGTCATGTGGCCCCAGTCCCTAGCAAGGCAGGATATTTCAACAGCAAGTTGGTTTCCATGGTATCCTAAGAACATCACTGAAAGTGGAAATGGGGTGAGACTGAACAGGTCATGCAGGCCCTTCTTTCTAAAAGCAGGATGTCCTCTAGAGTTTTTCAGATTGTACACTGGAAATTTCCATCAAGAGCCACATAACTGTAAAAGCCACTACAATTCTTCACGTGACTAAAAAAAAATCCTTTGATTCTGTTCCTTTTACTTCTCTATCAGATTCGTTATATTTCTATCCACAAGCTACCTAGCCAAATTACCCTTCAAATGATACTTGGCAAACATTTTTAGGAATGGAGTTAGTATTGTTTTTGAAGTATTATTTTCCGAATTTAAAAACTGCTCTGCCAGTAGAGGAATGCCAAGTGTAAGAATAGCCATTGAGATGTACTCTTAGGTGCCCAGTCTTGAAACATTCAATCTTTTCTCTAAAATTCTTCTGATCACTATGCCCACTAAGAACCTCTAGCCCTGGGATGCCTCTGAGCTAAGTAACAGTGGTTATCAAATGTGGCAGCTTCAATAATAATTAATAAACAGGCAGAGAGAGATTTATTGCTTGGTATGTGATGGCCAAACAATACAACATCTTTTTTTTTTTTTTAAAGATTTTATTTATTTATTTGAGAGAGAGACAGTGAGAGAGAGCATGAGCGAGGAGAAGGTGAGAGGGAGAAGCAGACTCCCCGTGGAGTTGGGAGCCCGATGCGGGACTCGATCCCAGGACTCCGGGATCATGACCTGAGCTGAAGGCAGTCGCTTAACCGACTGAGCCACCCAGGAGCCCACAATACAACATCTTAATTATACCCAGAGTTTCCAGATTTACTTATTATTAGTATTTTTGAAATATAAGGCCCCAATACAATTAACTCCAGAAGTGGGAAAACTGAAACATCCACGTAACCATGCCAGTATATTAAGTGCTATAGAGAATACCAACGAATATTCTTCTGATTCATGATTTAGATAATCTAAAACAGAAATGGCATAATACAGTTAAACTGGGAAAATGTTCACAAATCACAATCACCATTTTACGGTGGCCCTGAGTACTTACCCTTTCCTGTGATGTTTGATAGCGGAGGTGAAGAGCTGTGGGGTCCCAATCCACAGCAATATAGGCATTTCCGATGAAAGCTCTGTCTTCCCCACAATCAATTTTACAGCCTCTGCAAAATCTAAAGGGAGGAAAATGATCTACTGAAGGATGGAGTAATTATGAAAGAATCCAAATTTTCTTTATCAGGAATATTCTTTCTTTCTTGGGTTCACAGTCTGTCATGGGCCTCTAACTTAAGACTGATCAATGCATGAATATACATTAATATAATTATTATTATTTCAGGGAAGCACGCTTATCACTTCTCAAGTCTGTTTTTTTCAGTGCAGTGGACAGACATTTTTAATCCATATGAGTGGACTTTATGGCAAATAAATGACATGGGAATTGGACATTTGAGATAATACACCTGTAAGAAAATTCTAAATTTAGTTATTTAATGCTCTGAGGTAGGATAACTCATCTGATATAACAATCCCTATTTCCTTGTTCGTAAAGTGGCACATTAAATAAATGCATATAAAGTTTTATGGGAGGGGAGGGACCATGACAAAGCCAAGGTTTCAGTGCTATTTAGGTTGTTTGCTAAGTCTATTACAGTTCTCTGAAGGCTGACTTCAGTACTCAGGTATTTTCTAAGCTGCAACAGTAATGACCAATCAATCTCCATAATTCTTCTAAAAATAAAAAACAGACTTCCAGGGAAGTCTAGTAAGGAGACTATGTTCTACTGGGTTCAGAACTGCTAAACTGATTTATATTTAAGGAGCAGAAAGTATAAAATAATAAATGTTGATCATAAACTATGAATTTGATGAGGAGCACAGTTTACAGAACCAGCTAAGGCTCAAGAGCAAAACTAAGCTATAGACCTCATAAGAAGGAAAAGATCAGTAAAAAATTCCCAAGTTTATTTTAAGCTTCTCATTATTCAGTATTACTTCCAAAAACTGGAAACCTTATAAGAAAGGTATAATATCTCAAGTTGCAATTCTACTAAAATTTTTCCTTTGCAGAAGATCACTTTACCTATACCATGGGCACCAAGCACAGGAGTTCCCATCTTTCTGCACAACTCGTAGAGTGAAGGGATATTGATAGCCCATACTGTCATCACTGAAACAGAACATAAACCAGAATATAAAAAACATTTCTGATTTGAGGTCTCAAATCCTTTTCATTTTCTCTTGAAGTAACCCAAGGCAGGGACATCTGTCATAGCAGTAGGCTCATGGTGATGGTTCGATGCTGGTTATCTTAACCCACTAGCAGCAGCCCTGTACCAACCACACTCAGGGCTCCCACACTGTATCCCTGCATACAGAAGGGTAGACAGACTAGACTGCCAGATGTCTCTAATAAGACAGTCCATGTGGTCCACGCAAATTTTATAAGAGCAGCAAATTATGAAATCAAATACCAATTATCCTTCAGTTCTAATTCTATCATAAGATTTAATTCACATTAAACTAAAATAATTACATCTTTCCATGACAAGAACATTGACACAGCACAGAAGGCTGAAAGGTCGTAATTTTTTTTTTTTTAAAGATTTTAATTATTTGACGGAGAGAGAAAGAGAGAGCGCGCAAGCAGAGGGAGTGGCAGGCAAAGGGAGAGGGAGAAGCAGGCTCCCCACAGAGCAGGGGGAGCCCGATGTGGGACTTTTGGGTCGTGACCTAAGCCGAAGGCAGCCGCCTCACCAACTGAGCCACCCAGGCACCCCTCATAATGGTTTTTTAGAAGAGCTGACTAGAAGCTTTCTTTAATGAGAACCCTGATGTGGTACAAGAGAGGCACTCTTCTTCCCTGCTTTAACTACTCAAAGCTATAAGGTACATAACATTCTTAGAGTAATGTCTTTTAGCTGCAAGAGAGCCTTGAATTCTCCAACTTAAAAAAATATGTATTCATCCTTTCCCCAATAAGAAGCAATGAAGGACAGCATATCTGGCAATTGGTACTGGCTACTACATGGTTGCCAAAGATAATGAAGCCACGATAAGGAATTTACGACCTCCAAAAATCTCAGTTCCAAATATCCTGCTTTGCAACGACCATCCACCTCTTATCCTTTTAAATCACTTATTCAAGTATCACTACTTTAACAATTCTTTGGCCAAAGAGAAATTTCTTTTTTATTTACTTCTTATTTATTTATTTTTAAAAAGATTTTATTTATTAGAGAGCACGTGCCTGAGAGCAAGAGTGAGGGGCAAAGGTAGAGGGAGAAGCAGACTCCCCGCTGAGCAGACTGACTGATGTGGGGCATCACCCCGGGATCATGACCTGGACCCAAGGCAAATGCTTAAGTGACTAAGTCACCCAGGCCCCCAGGGACCGAAGAGAAATTCCTCATCACTGTCCTCAAATCCTCACTTTTCTCCTTGTCCACTGTCCCTCAAAATATTCTTTTATACAGATCAATTCTAGGAATTTGTCCCTCTAATGTAAACATGCAAACTTACTGACATTAACACTCACAAAAATGGAGAACTAGACAATGAAACCCCAGGTATCTGTCACCCGGCTATAATCATCATCAACTCTTGGGCACTTTTATTTCATCTATACCCTTACCTACCTCCGTAAGATTCTTTTATTCCATTAAAAAAAAAAAAAAACCTATGCTAAAATATACATAAAATTTACCATTTAACCATTTTTAAGTATACAATTCAGTAGCATCAAGTACATTCACAATGTTGTGCAACTATCACCACTATCCATCTCAGGAATTTTTCATCTTCTCAAAGAGAAACTCTACCCATCAAGCAATAATAATTCCCCTACAGCTCTTCTCCCAAACCTTGGTAACCTTTAATCTATTTCTGTCTATGAATTTCCTACTTATCTTATAAAAGTTAAATCACACAGTATTTGTCCTTTTGTGTCTGGCTTATTTCTCTTAGTATAATGTTTCCAAGGTACATCTATGCTGTAGTGTGTACGGGAACTTCATTCCTTTTCATGGTTGACGAATCCTCCATTATATGGTACACCACATTTTGTTTATCCATTTGTCTGCTTATGAACATTTGGGTTGTTCCTAGCTCTTGGTTATTGTGACCCATTAATTATTTTTGAAGGGAATTAGAGGCATTTTATCATTTTCATTAATACTTCAGTGTGTTATCTTTAAAAGGTCAACTCTTATTATCTTTTATTGCTCGTAGAAGCACTTTTTTCTTACCTATTCTAACCTCCATGCCTTCATCTACACTACTCCACTAAAACAGCTTTTGCAAAGGTCACCACAGACTGCCATTTTATCAAGTCCAGTGGTCAGTTCCCAGTCCCCTTCTCAATCTCTCTGCAGCACTCAAAATTGACCAGATCTACCTTTAAACACTTCTTCACTTAACTTTTGGGACACGACTTACTCTTGATTTTCTTCTTACATCACTCGCTGTTCCTCCTCAATCTCTTTTATTGTCATTTTTCAACCTCTAAATGTTGGAAGGGATCAGGAATTAGATTGTGGGTGTCTTCTCTAATTCTTACTCCCTAAATGATACCATCTGGTCTCAAGGCTTTAAATATCAACTATTTGCTGTTGACACCTATGTTTCTATCTCTAGCAAAGGACACTTAATTCTATTTCCTACTTGAAAATATAACCTACATCTTGAATTTAACTTGATTCTTGTCATCTCTTGCCCAAACATATTCCTTTCTCAGTTTTCCCATTCATTAAGTGTTAACACCATTCACAAACAAGTCCTAAGGCTGAAAACCAAGCTTGGATTTCTCTTTCCCTCATATTCTATATCTAATTCATTAGCAAACACTGGGAAAAGTCGTCATTTGGAAGTCCTTCAATTCAGTCAGACTTTTGCTTCAAATTTAATCTTGCCCTACTGTCTTTTTTTTTTTTAAGATTTTATTTATTTATTTGACAGAGATCATAAGTAGACAGAGAGCCAGGCAGAGAGAGAGGGGGAGGCAGGCTCCCCGCCGAGCAGAGAGCCTGATGCGGGGCTCGATCCCAGGACCCTGGGGTCACCTGAGCCGAAGGCAGAGGTTTTAACCCACTGAGCCACCCAGGCACCCCGCCTACTGTCATTTTTACTAAGCACAACATTCCTCAACTAAATTCCCTATTATTTGCAGTTTTCCTTTAAGATTTATGCTTAAGCCTTACCCTAGTCATCAAAAAACCCCATATCATAACCTATCTGCAAAGAGAACTTCTATTCAGTTAACACAGAAGCTGAGCTCTCACCTGCACTATGACAAGATAATAAACAGCAGTTAGTTCAGATATAAGTAATGCATCATGATCCCAACAATTATTACAAATAAATATATTTACGAATCTAAAAGAACACTGGTAGGAGGAATGGAAAGAAAACAGAAGATGTTTATTTTCTTTACCTAGACTTATGATATTATTCTGTGTTAAACTGACATAGTATGGAAATAATCTAACTGAATCATTTGTTATGGCATGGGAATTTTTTAGAGTTCATATATAGAAACGCACACTAGAGGATACAAATTTCCTGGTGAATTCATAGTCTCTAGTTTTGCAATAACAGAAGTCAAGGATATTACCTGAAGGATTTAAAGCATTAGCAGGAAGGATTTTAGGTAAGAGATTAGAGAATGAAAGGATTTTTAGACACTAGAATGTCTAGGCGATGAAAGGAAGCTGTATAGTCTCCTATTCAAAAGATCAAATGGTTGAATTATATACTTTCTGGATGGTTGTTCGACAAGTGATTAACCTAACATGGGAAGTATCCTATGGATCACACAGAATTCACAGAAATTCTTCTTCTTGAGTTTGGAAACCATAGGTCTAGGCTGATCCCCTAAACTCACCAATCCTGAGCATGGTTACTGGCTTCCTGAGGTGGGAGCGGGCTGGCTAATCGAGACACCTGAATCCAAACCGCATCATACAAATCCTTCTTCCGGGTATGCACGGTACATGGAACAATCAGTGGCATTCCAAAGAGGCTGGGGCGATTCTTCTGAGATGAAAGGAAATAGAGTTCTGTCCTCATCTGTATGTACAAACAAAAGAGAAGGCTGAGAAGACAGGTCTTTGATTCCTCCTTTTCACTAAGACTGCCAGTGACAGACATCGTTATCATTTTCAGCGTCACTATCACACCTCCCCTTATTGACAGAACCATTTTTTATTAATATGAAGAGACTGGTGATTTAAAGTGGAGTCACTGAAAGGTTGAGGTATTGCCAGTTTCAGAGCTGTTATCTATCAGACAGACATTTTCAGCATTTAATATTTTCAAACTAGTTTTCTCTGATAAATATTTCTCACACATACTGAATCATACATAGAAACTAGTGATAGTTTCAGAGCTCAAGGCTTTTAAAAGCAATTAAAATCCTTTCTCTAGAAAGTATGCCAGTAAACCAAAACTCCCTCAAAATGCAATTTTCTAGTAAGGCGGTGATAGCTGTTGTTACAGCATAATTCTCAAACTTTTGGAAAGGTACAAAACCCAGCCACTTAATGTTATAAAAACTTATGCATCTTCCTACAAGTAGCTGAGTGACTTTAGTCTTTTTTTTTTTTAATTACATGATAGAATAAAAGGTACACTTTAAAAATATTTGCTTTTAGTATGTTAAGGAGATTTTTATGATATTCCTTAATATAGAGATACTACACAGAAGTAGCTTGGAAATAGCTGCTTAATAAAACAAAAGTTTAATGTAATAGAAAGGTTGGTTAGAGTTCAGGATTACTGAAAAAAACTGCCTAGCGGTGGCTGGGTGATGGACACTGGGGAGGGTATGTGCTATGGTGAGTACTGTGAATTGTGTAAGACTGATGATTCACAGACCTGTACCCCTGAAACAAATAATACATTATATGTTAATTTTTTTTAAAAAGCTGCCTAGCACTTAGGACATTTAATTCTTATTTATTTGACAAACAGAGATCACAAGTAGGCAGAGAGGCAGGCAGAGAGAGAGAAGGAAGCAGGCTCCCTGCTGAGCAGAGAGCCCGATGCGGGGCTTGATCCCAGGACTCTGGGATCATGACCTGAGCCGAAGGTAGAGGCTTTAACCCACTGAGCCACCCAGGCGCCCCAGGACATTTAATTCTTTAAGTATGGTCTCTGTGTAGTACTTACAGAAGCTAAATCAACAACTTAGAAACTCACTAAAGGTTATCTAGTTTCTAGGGGAAAAGACTTTCATTTCAGATTCTCAAGCATTTTATCTCGCCATTATTTATTTTTTTTAAGTAAAAGTTTTCAAAAGATCTTATTTTACTTTTTATTTTATTTATTTGACAGAGGGAAATAGAGAGCACAAGCAGATGGAGCAGCAGGCAGAGGGAGAAGAAGAACAAAACTCCTGGCTGAGCAGGGAGCCTGATGCAGGACTCGATCCCAGGACTCTGGGATCATGACCTGAGATAAAGGCAGCCACTTAACTGACTGAGCCACCTAGGTGCCCCTAAAGGATTTTCTTTTTAAATAATCTCTACACCCAAAGTGGGGCTCAAACTTATAACCCTGAGATCAAGAGTCCCATGTGTCACCAAATGAGCCAGACAGGCACCCCTTGCCACTATTTATTTAAACTTAGTTAAATAGATGATTCTAAGACCACATTTCATGTGTTGATGTTTTTACAAGACTCAGAGAAATGTGGATAAATTCAGAACTATTTTAGAATTCAGAACTTTTAAAAACCTAAAAACCGGGACGTCTGGGTGGCTCAGTTGGTTAAGCCGCTGCCTTCGGCTCAGGTCACGATCCCAGGGTCCTGGGATCGAGTTCCGCATCGGGCTCCTTGCTCAGCGGGGAGCCTGATTCTCTCTCTGCCTCTGCCTGCTGCTCTGCCTGCTTGTGTTCTCCCTCTCTCTCTCTGACAAATAAATAAATAACATCTTTTAAAAAAATAAAAATAAAAAAATTTAAAAAAAACCCTAAAAACGTAGATTAGTTCTTCTCTACTTGAACTTCTACTATTCTTCCACTCTCAGCAGATGACTTACTTAACTAAATAAGACTAAATGAGATCAGCTAAGCAATGATCTCTTTCCTCTACTCTTATCAGTGTAACTCTTTTCTAAAGCCACACAAAATTTTCATCCTCTTGAGGGTAACTTCTCCCAGTACCTTACAGAGATTCTGCTCAGTTTCCCCAGGGGTAACACTCCCACTTTCCTACACCAGAAATTCTCCTTTTGCTCTCTCCTAACAACTTTTCCTCTCAGTTGAAATAACTCATTTGACCTGACTATGCAAAGAACTTCCTCATTTTCTTACTAGGTTACACAGTGAAACTGTAGTTTTCACTTTTTGACTTCTCTAGCCCATGTAAACTTTTTTTTTCTTTTAAATTGACTTGCCCTTTAGCTGTCATGTCAATACTGTTTTTCTATTTCTCCCTTTATTTTTTGAATATTGTTTATGTTGCCTTGCCTTATTCCTTTTCTTTTTGTACCTTGTAGAAGGGAATAGGAAAAAAAAAAAAAAACTACTTTCAAAGTAATTCAACCATGATAGCAATAAGGTCTGAAAGAAAGTGGCAGGGAAAATGAAGAAATGGTAAATTCAAGTACTTAAGTACTTTGAAAGAAGAAATTAGAGGGCATAGTGATATATGAATATACAGTTAGAAGAAAAGGGGGAAAAAATCCTAAGAACACTCCCAGCCGTTAGCTTTAGCATGGAAGAATAATGTTGCCTTTCACAAAAATGATAGGAAAAGGAACCTGACTTGAGACAGACAGATGGTAAAATCAAATTTAGGCATTCCCAAAGCAGCTGTCTAGATCATGAAGGAATCTGGAAACAGGAAACTAGTTAAATGTGAAAATTAAGAGCTGACAATGTGGCTTTATAGCCCAATAATTATGAAAACCTGTACATAATGCTTTAGCATTTACCAAGCAATTATATAACATATACATGATAATTGAAGAGAGATGTTTTCCAAGAAAGACTGAAAAAAAAAAGTACATCAGAGTTCTTAATTTATGATCTGATAACATTTGGTAAAAAAGGGAAATACACAGATCAATTATTTTAGCTGATGGGACTAGTTGGAGCCATGCTGAAAGACTATTCCAAGTCACAAATGGATCCTTTCTCTGTCGACTCATACAATCCTGGTCCACAGAATGTTATCCATGTGGTCAGAAACTCACTTTAAATCAAGAGTTACTAATTCAAAAGGAAAGAAAAGAATTATCAGAAAGCAAACAGCTGTATCATTACCACTCAGGTCATGACCCAATATAGCCAGCACTCTAAAAGCTTCCTTCTGCTTTCTCTGAATCCAAATTCTTACTTCCTTTCAAAGTTAGCAGTTTTGGGGCACCTGGGTGGCTCAGTCGGTTAAATGTCTGACTCTTGATTTTGGCTCAGGTCATGGTCTCAGGGTCGTGAGGTCAAGGTCCCTCTATCCCCCTGGCCCTGCTCATGCACTTTCTCTATTAAATAAGTAAAAAAAGAGAAAGTTTACAATTTTTCTGCATTTTATGGTAGTCAATTATTCCTTGCTTTTTAAATTTTGTAGTCTATGCATAAAAGATAGTCAATTTCATTTTCCCTGTTTCTGAAGTTTTTGTTTTTTTAAAAATCATGTAATTTATATTTGTGTCTGGTTTCTTTCCCACAACATTGTTTATGATGTTTCATTTATGTTGAATATAACTCTTAAGTCCGTACATTTTCATTGCTGTACAATATTCTATTACATGAATATGTCTCAACTTGTTATCCCTTCCACTACTAATGGAGATATATATATATATATATATATATATGCACATATATATATATGATTTATTTTAGAGAGAAAGAGCAAGAGCAAGCGAGGGTGAGTTGGGTGAGGGGCAGAGGGAGACGGAGAGAATCTCAAGCAGACTCTCCGCTGAGTTTGCAGTCCAATGCAGGGCTCAATTTCATGCCCCTGAGGTCATGACCTGAGCTGAAATCAAGAGTCCAATGCTTAACCAACTGAGACACCCAGGTGCCCCAACTAATGGACATTTAATGTTTTCATTTTTCTTTTTAGCTTTCGGCTATTACAGTTAATGCTGTTATCTGAATGAATATTCTTGTATATATCTCCTGGTACACATGTCTGTTTTTAGATGCTTAAAAAGAAGATTTATCTTTAACTAGATAACTATTTTCTAAAAGAGCTATATTAATTTATACCTTTAATAGCAGGGTATGAGAGTCCCTGTTGCTCAAATATCCTTACCAACGCCATCAACCTGTTCAATCTTAGCTCTTCTGGTGGGTGTGCACTGATAGGGCAATGTGACTTTAATTTGCATTCCCTGGTTCATAGTGTGGCTGATCACTTTTTGATATGGTTACTGGCTATCTGAATATCCTTTCTGTGAAGTGCCTATTTAAGTATCAACCATTTTTTATGGAACTGCTTTTTTCTTAATAATTTATGTAAGTCCTTTGTATTTTCTGGATTGAGCCTTTTGGCAGTTATAGGCATTACAAACATCTTCCACTCCAAGGCTTGCCTTTTTACTCTCTTACTGGTGTCTTTTGATGGAACTAAAGTTCTTAATTTTAATGATATCCAATTTGTTAATCTTTTCCTTTATGGTTAGTGCTTTTTGTACCCTATTTAAGCAGTCTTTCCCTACGTCAAGGTCATGGATGTATTCACCTTTATTATCTTCTGGGCATTGTTTTATTGTTTTGCTTTCACATTTAGTTCTATAGCCCACCTGGAATTGAACACGGTGCGGTGAGAGAGACTGAGAAAACTGTCTTTCTCTCACTGATCTTCAATGCCATCTTTGTCATAAATCAAGTGTTCATACGTTTGTGAACCTGGTTCTGGGCTCTCTATTCTAGTTCACTGGTCTACTTGTCTTTTCTCACACCAATATCACAATGTCTTAAGTACTGCAGTGTTATAAAATCATAGTATCTGGTAGCTCAATTACTCATGCTTTATTTTTCTTCAAGAATGTTTTGGTTATTTTGGTGATTTGTACTTCTACTTTTTTTTTTCTTTTTTTAAGGAAGCTCTACGCCCAACATGGGGCTTAAACTCAAGACCCTAAGATCAGGGGTTGCATGCTCTACCAACTAAGCCAGCTAAGCACCCCTGTACTTCGGTTTTAGATTCAGCTTATCGAGTTATACATACACAATCATCTATACACAGAGTTAGAATTTTCATTGGGATTGTGCTTTGAATCTGTAGATCAGTTTGTGGAGAACTGGTATCTTTGAAATATTGGGTCTTCTAATCCATGAACATGGTCTAGTCCTTCAAATATTTGAATCTTTTAAAATTTTTGTCAATATTTTATTTATTGTTTTCCATATAGATGCCTTATATGTCTATTGTAGTTTATTTCTAGGTACTTAATTTTTTTCATACTATGACAAACGATGTCCGTAGTGGATTGAATGGTGGCTCCCCAAAAGATATGTCTACATCCTAACTCCCCTGAACTTGTGAATGTGACCCTATTCGGCAAAATAGTTTTTGCAAATGTAATTAAGTTGAGGCTCTTGAGGTTGAGAAATCCTCATATCTGGATTATCTGGATGGCCTCTCAATCTAATGACAAGTGTTCTTATCAGTAAATCTTATTAGTGAAAAGCAAAGGGAGAAGGAGAAGACCACGTAAAGAAGGAGGCACAGAGTGGAGTTCTGAGCTAAGAAATGCCTACGGAAGCTGGAAGAGACAAGGAAGGATTCTCCCCTAAAGCCTTTGGAGGGAGCACGGCCCTGTTGATTTCAGACGTCTTGATTTTAGACTTCCAGCCTTTAGAACTATGTATGAAAGAATACATTTCTGTTGTTTTAATCACCAAATTTGTGCTAATTTTTTATAGCAGTCCTAGGAAACAACATGTTTTACCCAAGAACATCCTTGTTTCTCTCCAACCAACCAACCAACCAACCAATCTCCAAAGGTATCCACATTTACGTGGCAGAGAAGGTGTACATGCGTATGCAACATAGGAGACAGAAACCGTTAAAAGAAAGTAGTATTCTGATGTACCAGCTATCCTGCTGCTGTTTAATATGAGTGAGGAATGTCATTTCATACATAGGTCAGCATGTGTGATACCAAATCCCGGCTCAATCACACACAATATCATCATAATACATTGAAAGTGAACACAAAGAAGATGCTCCAAAGACAGAAAGTAGCTATGTTTCACAAATGACACTGGCAAGACCAGCAATAACTTGCCTAACATTAAACTAACCATTTTTCGGTGGACTGCAATGATGTAGCCTGTAAAGGAATTGTCAGGAAGAGATGGCATATGACCATTCACCATTCCATTTGTGAAGTTCTTCTCAGTTCCACATGGCACAACAGTGTTTGGCATTCCATTGGGTATGAATATTGGTCGGGGCAAGTCCCCATTGGTGGTCAGAGTGAACATTCCATTTGTAGATGGGGAAGAGGAGAAATCTACAAATTTAAAGATAAGTACAGCATCATAAGCTTCTGGTGCCTTCACCTTTGCTCTTTTCTCAAATAATGTGGGGACCCAGACCACTGTAGTAGATTCTCTTTTAGCAAAGGACGGGGAGAAATCATAATTCAAATAATAATTCTAGATTGGAAGATTTTAATTTCAGATTCTACTTCTATAACTCACATTTAAGACTAAATAACAAACCAAGAGTAACTGCTGGAAAGTTTTCTGAAAAGTTTAAGTAAAACTTTTTAAAGAATCTCGATCAGCACCATATTGTTGCATGCAAACAGTTCTCTCTTATCTTCTTCTTCCTCTACAAATTCATTTCTCCATTCTCTTAAAAATGTTTAGTTGAATACAGTGGTCTCTAGCTAGATGTTGCCTTTTTTGTAATCTTTTTAATAAAATACTTTATTTTTTAGAGCCACTTTATGTATATAGCAAACTAAAGAGGAAGGGTACACAGATTTCCCATATACCCTTTGTTCCCACAAATGCAAAGCCTTCCCCATTAGCAACACCTCACCAGCCAAAGGAATATATTTGTTACAAATGATGATGAAAAATACTTTTTAAATTTAAATTAAATTAAAAATGCATTTGTTTCAGTCTCAACAGTGCTCAACACTCCATGTGACTAGAGGATATTCGGTTGGATGGAAAAGGTTATAGGACAGACAAACAATACTATATGGTCAAAAAGACTAAGAAAACTGTATCGAATCACATGCAATATTAAATAAACAGTAACTTTTTTTTTGTTTTTATTTTCCATCCCAACCCTAAAACAGATTCTTTTTTAGCTGTGTTTATGGTTTTATTTTCTGATTGTATATATCTCTTACACCATCTATTGCCATGTTACTGTCAGATAAAAAGAATTAAGAAATCTGAATTCCAGTGGAAGATTTAGTTAACCATCTACCTGTCACTTGTATTGCCTGAATTTTAGGCTCTTCATCTAAAAAATGAGGAATTTGAGCCAAATGATCACCAAGGTTTCCATCAGGCTCCAAAGTTCTTTTGCCCAAATATCTTTAGCTCAAACACATATAAGCTCTTAGGCCAATATTTAAAGCTAAAATCACAAGAGGGAGCTCTAGTTCCATCTTACCTGTCTGTATCGGACTAGAAGCTGAAATTGGAGATCCAGGAATGGGGATCTCAAATGCACACAAAAACCCACTCACTGAGAGCCGTACTTTTTGGTTGTCCTGAGGGAAATTCTACAGAAAAAAAGATAAGATGAGAAGGGGAAATTTTTCAGATAAAATGGAAAATCATTCTGATACATACAAGCTAATGTTTTAGATGCTTTCACCAATAAAACAAACAAAAAGACAATAATTCTTCTCAAACAACTAAAAGATGAAAGCTTGATAAACTGGCTGAAAACTAAAACTAACCTTACTGACAAAACCATTATCCCTTTCCATAGGAAAAAAGTATGTTTTGCATAACTGGCTCCTTAAGATTGGTCCTTCATTTCAAGCATCTAAACCCCAAACTCAGAGAGCTCTTACCTTTGCTTTACACATGAGAAAAACATTAATTAGGTGAGTTCGTTAAGAAAGCCCAAAGATAAATGTTAATAATACCAATGGCAGGAGCTCAATTCAGGGTAGGCAACATACTTATTATTTTACTGAAAAATGTTTTAAGCTTATTTTATTTAAATTCAATTAGTTGGGCGCCTGGGTGGCTCAGTCAGTTAAGTGTCTGCCTTTCACTCAGGTCGTGATCCTGGAGTCCCGGGATCATGTCCTACACTGGACTCCTTGCTCATGAGGGAGTCTGCTCCTCTCTCTGCCTGCTTCTCCCTCTGCCTTCAACCCCCCTTGTGCCCTCTCTAGCTTCCTCTCTCTTAAATCACGAATAAAATCTTGCAATAAAAAAACAAATAAATACATTCAATTAGTTAGCATACAGTGTAGCATTAGTTTCAGATGCAGAGTTCAGTTATTCATCCACTGTGCATTACATCACATGTCCTCCTAACGCCTGATACCGTTACTCCACCCCCACCCACCTATATTTATTTATTTTTTTGTTTCGAGTTTTTTTTTCTTGAAAGATTTTATTTGACTGAGAGATCAAAAGCAGGCAGAGAGGCAGGCAGAGAGAGAGGGGGAAGCAGGCTCTCCACTGAGCAGAGAGTCTGACTCGGGGCTCAATTGCAGGACCCTGAGATCATGACCTGAGCTGAAGGCAGAGGCCCAAACCACTGAGCCACCCAGGCGCCCCTGTTTCAAGTTTTTATTTATTTATTTATTATTTATTTATTTTATTTTATTATTATTTTTTAAATTTTTATTTATTTGACAGACAGAGATCACAAGCAGGCAGAGAGGCAGGCAGAGAGAGAGGGGCAAGCAGGCTCCCTTCTTAGCAGAGAGCCTGATGTGGGGCTCGATCCCAGGACCCTGAGATCATGACCTGAGCAGAAGGCAGAGGCTTAACCCACTGGGCCACCCAGGCGCCCCTCAAGTTTTTATTTAAATTCTAGTTTGTTAACATATGGTGTATATTAGTTTTAGGCAATATATATGTTATATATGTAGGCAATATATATATATCCACATTATATATAATGTATATATAATATATTTATTAAATTGCTTATTTTTTCCAGCTGGTATGCAGAAAGAAATGATTTATGTCATTTGCCTTTGCTCTCTAACTTAGTGTATTGAAAGGCCAGGTGTATATATTAATAAAGAAATAATAAAAGAACACATTTATAACTATGTATTTTAACCTAGGAAGAATTCTAGTGAGCATAGTAATATAGGAGGACCATAAAGTGTAGCAGCAGTAGTCACTAGGGTAATTCTATACTGCAGTGATATAGCTAGATTACTCCTTATAGATAGCACTGGACTTACATGTTTCTCTTTTTTAAAAATGCCACTACTATTATTACTTTTTAATGCTGGTAGATAACCCTTTTTAAAATTTCTGGAATGGGAAGCTTGAGAAATTTTTTTGTTCAGCCTCTGTTGCATTTTAGTATCTCCTTCAGTCATTAATTGACCAAACGGTGATTTTTTTTTAAATTTAAAAGATTTTATTTATCTGAGAGAGCAAGAGCAGGGAGAAAAGCAGAGGAAGAGGAAACAGACTCCCTGCTGAGCAAGGAGATGGCCATGGGAGCTTGATTCCAAGACTCCGAGATCATGACCTAAGCTAAAATCAAGAGTTAGCCACCCAAGTGACTGAGCCATCCAGGTGCCCTGAGAAAACTATGATCTTTGAAGGATGGAATCAAGGTTTTCTTAGAAAGAATAGTTAATATTACCTTTATGTTGGAACCATGTACTTCTGCCAGAAGGATTTGTTCTGATTTAAGCCCACAGAGATCGCTCAGCTGTTTTTTTAAACCTGTGTACTTTTCATCCATATTCAGTCGTAGTCCATATCGTACAGGAGTAGTACCATCCAGCTTAATAACTAGTAAAGGAAAAACATCTTTTATCAGTAAAATACAGGTTTCACTGAAAGCTTTCCTATGTGTGTGTGTGTGAGACTTGGAAATAGCAAACATTTCAGTCTAGAATTTTTTTAAAAAGATTTTATTTATTATTTATTTGAGAGAGAGACACACACACAACAGAACATGAGCAGGGGGAAGAACAGAGGGAAAGAGAGAAGCAGACCCTCTGCTTAGCAGTGAGCCCAGAGTGGGGCTCAGTCCCAGGACCCTGGGATCATGACCTAAGCTGAAGGCAGACGCTTAACCGACTAAGCCACCCAGGTGCCCCTCAGTCTAGAATTTTTATTTTATATGTAAATTATAATAGATGGTACTTAGGGATGATGCTGAGTGCAATCATTATTTTTTGATGTTCATCTGCTATAGAAATGTGAATGGCCTTGCAAGATTTTAAAGAGTTTCTGGCATGTTTGAAACTAATAGAGGAATCGATGGGTACAAGGCTTGGACCCCTATTCCAGGTCTTTCAAACCACAAATTATTCTTAAAATTAGATTGTTAGATTATAACATGCTGGCCAATTTTTATGAGAATGCATTATAAAGAAATGACTATACTTACAAACTCAGGTTACCTGAATAAGGTAAAAGACATTGAAGTTAAGTAATTTTTCAGAACTTTGTGACCTACCTGTTATTTCTAAGTGCATATAACTGTCCATTGGTAGTGGCAAAGACAAAAAATTGAAAGGGTCAAATCGGACACTTATATGCCCACATGTCTTGCATCTGACTTGGGACCTCAGCTGCCCATGGAACAAATCTACAACAATTGATCTATTCCTTCTCAGATGGTTGTCCCAGGCCTAGCAAGGAAAAAAATTAGAGAACTTTTTTTTTTCTAAAATTCAAAAGATAATTATTTCTACACAAATTCAAATAAACTGGCTAAATCTATTAGGTTTAAATGTCAAGAATATAATCCTCTGAAGCTAATGTAACACTGTATATCAACTATATTCCAATAAAAAAAAAAACAATCCTTAGTCTTCATTCATATTGCATGGAGCACTGGGTATGGTGCATAAACAATGAATTTTGGAACACTGAAAAAAAATTAAATTAAAAAAAATATGGAAGCTTTCTGCCTGTAAATTTATAGTATAGATATGTAATTTAAAATGTACCATCTACTGAGATAGTACAGAAAACCAGTTCTTGAATGGACTTTGATTCTTTTTGTTCAACCTACATATTAAATACAGACGGGAAATCCTATTTTTTTGTTCTTACCATGGTGACAATGGTGAGTATTAAAATTCTCTGTCCATTAAAGGTAGATAAAACATGCCTATTGGTGACTGTACACATTATTTTAGCAATTAAGGGGACTCCCAAGTTCTACTGAATAATTATTCCTACATTTTTTCCCAAAAGTTTACAATGTAAAAAGCGACATTCTAAAACTTGCATTAAAGATGCTTTGTTTTGGTGTTACTGAATAAGAATTAAACAGAGAAATATAAATTCCTTCACTTCCACAGTAAAATTCTAATCACAGAAGAGTGATTAGAATTCTATTAATATTAATCTATTAATATTAATTTAATAAATTAAATGTTAATAGTTTAATTAGCATTTAAGTTGTGTGACACACGTTTGTGGCCAGAACATCTGATCTATGGCTTACATTAAAAATGCAAAACCGACAAACCTCTGCAGCTACTTCCCAGTCTGGTCGGCCATCGCTGTCCTTCAATTCCACATATGGCTTCTCATGGACTCGGTTGAGATCTTCATGAAGACCATCCAAGAGAAAAGCCAGAAGTTCTTGGGAATCTTGCTGCTGGAACCCATTAAACCTGGGAGCATATTTTGCTATGGTCCACTATAAATATAACAGGAATCAAACTCATTATTTGCTACCACATAAAATTTGGAATGAACATGCCCCATAATTCATTCAGCGGCATTATGAGAAGGTAAATAATATTTAGTCTGCCTTGATTTCAGCAAATATATTTTGAATAATCATGAAATCTTTCTAGTCTTAATCTCAAATGACAAGGAAAAAAAGGTATTTTGGCCAATACTGTGCTCCAGTTCAGTATCATATAAGCAAACAGTTCTTTAGGTACACAGATATTATTTAAGCCATGTAGGACAGAAGTACTAAAATAGCATTTGCTCTCATTGAAAAAGTGTTTTCTTTTATGGTTAACTTTTCTAGTCTTGTATCCTAACTTTTATTATTGGAGGCAGAATAGCCTGTTTAAATGTGAGGACTGACTTACTAGCTTATAATCTTGGGCAAGCTATTTGACTGCCCTGGGCCTTAGTTTCCTAAGCCATAAAATGAAGATAATAGTATTGCTTTACATTTTAGGACTATTTAGAAGATTAACTGAGTTAATACACATAAAGTAATTAGAGTAATGCTTAGAAGTGGTTAAAAAGTCACATTTTTAGCTATTAGGTTAAGAAGTCAAATTTTTAGCTATAATGATTATTAATTTTTAATCTAAAAAGTTTTTGTATTGTTTTTAAATAAAGATAAAAAATAATCCTAAAAAATCATCGTAACTTCACTACATATAAAATTTGTATCCATGGACTTCAGTAATTACATTCTTTCTGGCTCCTATTTTTAATTAACTTATTTTTTAATTTGGCTCTATGCCCAGTGTGGAGCCCAATGTGGGATTTAAACTCCATCACCCTGAGGTCAAGACCTGAGCTGAGATCAAGAGTTGGATGCTTAATCCACTGAGCCACCCAGGCATCCCTCTTGCTGCTTTTTAAAATTCTATAGATGGGGGGTCCTGGATGACTCAGTTGGTTAAGTGTATGCCTTTGGCTCAAGTCATGATCCCAGGGTCTTGGGATCGAGCCCAGGGAGCCTGCTTTTCCTTCTCCCTCTGCTTGCCGCTCCCCCTGCTTGTGCTCTCTGGCTCGCTCTCCCTCTGTGTCAAATAAATAAATAAATAAATAAACAAAGTCTTTAAAAAAATTCTATAGATAGAACTAATTATCTTAGTAACATTAAAAAGTGTACTGAGTATCATTTATTAGGCTCAGAGGTATACCTTGCAGTTAGAATACTACTAACAGTAAAGGACTAACAAAGGAAGATTTCCTATGTATACAAGATATTTGATAAATTAGTAAACTGAATGACAACCCAAATGTAGACTATGACTTTGATCATTTCCTAACACTACATCTACAGCAGTATTTTGCATACATCTGAACAAGTAAAAGCATCTGACATCCAGTTTATTCTCATGAAAGATCTAAAACACATTAGTTAAACTAAAACTAAAAAGCTAAACATAAAAAGCATATAGAAAAAAATCAGTTACTTAACTGCTTAGGACTTAATACTTCAGTATTATTTTAATCTGCTTACCCGAAGCTTTAATGGGGCAACATTCTTCTGAGTTCCACTCCAAAGTTCCTGTACTAAATCCCCATAGCATTTAGCCATATGGCCCTTCATACCAATAGGATTTGTCCTAGAAGTTTGAGAGGAAAATTTGTTGCCAAACATTCTCATAAATCACAATCACATGGGGACAGAAATGTCTAGCATCTATTTTCTCACAAATTTCTTTTTAAAATGAGAGAAGTATCCCTTGCCCCTTATTTCATACTAAAAAGGGCAAATAAGACTTTTCTCCTCCAGGGTTTAGAAGAGGAGATTTAAGTGACAGTGGGTTCATATCAAAGTCATAAAAGAGGGCAATGAACCAAGAAATATTACCTGTTGAGTTCATAAAGATGTCTCCCTGAGATAAAATACTGTGTCAGTGGCTGTGTGTTACTAACACACTGGATGCTTGAGTTCATGAAGCAAGTGTTTCCCAGGTTACTCAGACCGGTGGCTCCTTTTTCTGTGGGAACTAGAACAAACAATATGAGAAGGAAGCCTAACTATAGAAAGATGTCACAGGCAGACCAAACAGTTACTTGTATTTGATGCAATGATTTTTATAATTTTTTTAATCAGCTAAATGGAGCTAATACTTCTTTATCTGGTCTTGGAATGCTGAAGTAGAGGTTTTTCACATAGTATCACTGGCGATCACGGTAATCTAAGCTCACTTGTGATCTAAAATTAGCTATGATTCTCTTTAATTGCTATGATAGATTTTTACAATTCAAACAATTCTCTCCCAGTATTATGTCTTTAAAAATATATATAAATTATGTAATTGCCAAGGTTAGAAAAAAATGTGACGCTCCAGGAAAAAGAAAAAGGGGTCCTAATCACTTTTGAACTAGAAAGCCTAAAGTTGTTAACACTTCAATAGTTTAGTAATTTTAAGATAATTTCTTTAGAAATAATTAACCAGAGACTTACCCTTGTGTCTATCTATTTTACTACTGTTTGCTATAAAGGACATTTCCTCAGGCCAACTCATATCTTTGTTGCGAACTGGCAAGACAGAGAGAGGAATGTGTTAATTTCTTACCTATTCAAATCAATTGCTTCTTTTTTTTTTTTTTAAAGAAAGGTTTTTATTTCTAAATCAGAAACTGAAAAAAATTGAGTTAATTTTCGTAATTGATTCTGAAACCATTCTAAGTCTTTATACTGGGAACTTTATAGTCACTTGATTCGAATTCACTGGTAAGCTATTCCCTCAATTGCCTACCTGAATTAAAATTATACTCAAACATCTATAGAAATAATTAAAGCTCTTAAACTTAATGCATAAGAATTATCACAATTCCTTCTTAAATTATGACAACTGTCAGAGTAATTTATTTTAATACAAAGGCAGCCTGCAATGCTTCCAAAAATCTGGAAAGGAAAAGATACATTTTAAGTTTTCACTGACCTGCCCATGCCAGTGTGTAGATCTATGTGTGAGTATACAAGTAAGTTCTGTTGGAGAGTGACCAGTGTTGATGACTAATGAAAGCCTCTGCCACTAACTATGCCAGAGAGTTAGTTTTCTTACTCAAACTCAAAAGGTAGCTTGAAATTTTGTACTTATAACCGAATTCACTTGTTTCTACCTAATGTTTCTATTCCTTGCCAACCAACGAATGCAGATATTATTTTTCTTTTAAAGCAATTTACATAGTATGTAGGGTTACATAAGAGCTTAATGGTTTTTCTTACTATAAAGAATATAATGATCAAGTAATAGAAAAATTATAAAGTAGATTATTAGTATGTAAATCTTTAAATTCGTCCCCTAAAATCTAATATAGATGCATGCTTCCATCTTATACCTTCAATTACTAGATGCTGCTCATCTTGGATTTTCAAATATTCCAATCTATGATCTTCATCATCCAGAAGTGTAAGGTAATTCTGTGCATGGAGGAAGAAATGTTTTTGTTAATTTGATTACTAAACTTAAAACAGAAAAGGAAGTAAAAATGAATGATAATTAAAAATTTAAACACGTCCGTGTAGTTCCCTAACTCCTGTGACAGATATCTGGCATATTATAGTTGTTCAGAAATATTTACAATTTAGGCTGCAAAATGAGAGAAAAACAATGTCTAAGTCATAAATAAATACTCTATATCTAAAACAAAATCATAACAGAATTTTGGGGAGATGAGAAGACTCATCACACACCAATCCAAAATTCACTGAGATTTAGATTTTCTGAAGCACTTGCACTAAAGTAATTTTCTTTAGTACCCAGTATGAAATTCAGTAAACATACTTATGATCAAGATGAAACATACTGGGAATCAAAAATACAAAATCAAAATTCTACAGCAGAATTACATGTTTTTGTTTGTGCTCACAAAATTAAGTTATTTAATTCTAAGGGAGTTACTATTATGTTGGAATGTTAAGGAAGATACTATTATGTTGTTATTAATTCTAAGGGATATTATTATTAATTCTAAGGTATATTATTAATTCTAAGGGAGATACTATTATGTTGGAATGCATTCAATTTTCATGTGAAAATTGAGACAGTTAAGTGACTTGCTCTGGGTTATACAACTAAACAAGTGGCAGGGCCAGGATTTAATTCCTGGTGGTGTGGCTATAGGAATTGTGCTCTTAACCATTATACTATACTACCTCTCAGTGGTGATCACAGGAAGATAAAAGAGGGAACAATGGGATACAGAACTGGTTAAAACTACTTATGATCCAATTTCAGAGTATAATCTGAAAACACTGCGATGTTAGGAAGACTACATAAGCAATTAATAACACTACATCAGCGGAAGATGGAAGACAGGGTTAAGAGGATGAGAGTGAAGAATTTTCAGTATATACTTCTGTACTGTTTGGATCTTGTCAGTACGTGTACAAGTCACCTGACAACCAGGAATGACTTACCTCACTGTTGTAGAGCCACAGGCGCATATCTTCCTCTTTGATGCGTAGCCTTTGAGACAGATATTCATGAATTTCCTTGATGGTCTGCATTCGACTAAAACAGCCTGTATAGGCTAAGACCCGCTTTAATGGTGCATTTGGAGAAGGTACATTGCCTATGGTCATAGTAATCATAATAAGGAAAAAGGCAGATGTAAAAAAAAAAAAGGCGTCCCATTCAGCAATGATTGTTTTAGGAAATAATGATGAGAAATCAGAATTACAGGTTTAATAATTTTATAAATTAAGAAGCTTTAAAATGCAGACAGGAGACCAACTGTGTTAAAGTAAATTCAAAGCCTTAACTTTGAACGGAAGAGCAACAAAACCAGAGGCCCAAGTAACAGGCAGTATTTGGATCCCAAGAGGAGTGGCAAGTATCAACAATAGACACTGGTACCTTGGCTGCCCTCAGCAGGGTCACACTCAATAGCAAAATCAATATTCAATTTAAGAATGGGGAAGATCATATGGGACTGGATCTGAATTCCACAGATAACTGAATTCATTAAAAAGAATTCCACAGAAAACTGGATTCATTAAAAAAAAAAAAAACCATTGGCCCCAAATGGGATCACTTACGTTAAAGGTGTGAGTCTATAAACCAACACTTAATACCTAACCTAACTACAGTTTCAAACCCCTAGAAATGTAACCTTTAACCAGTCAACATGGGAATTTCCAGGTCAGTACTAGGAAATTTGATAGACCCCTATTATTCCCTTTTAGAGCAAGACCTTGCCTAAAACAATGGAGTCTTTGTGAAGTTTCCTTTTTTCCACTCCTCTATCTTTAACCCCCACTTTTCTTTCTGTAGTTCTTGGGAGCACCCCTCTACTTGCTAGAAAGGATGTTGCCAGATCCACAAGTCAATTAATAAAGCCAATTAGATCTTTAAAATTTACTTGGTTGAATTTTTGTTATTTAACAACCTGACCCACTTTCTTAAAATAAACTGTCTTTGAATTACTAATCCCATTACTCTCAGTAATTAAGTGCCCCAATTACCTGGCACAGTAGTACAATTACACAAGAAACTTTTACTTAAAATTCGAAATAGGCATAGACTCTACAATGGCCAAACAGAGTTTAAAGTGAAACCAAGAACCTTCCCATGCCAAAAAAAAAATTGCCCTGCTGAAAAGGTAGGAGGCAGGAAAACCGTATGGCCTGCCTGCAAAATAAGACGACAGCAGACATGATCTTGAATTCCAAGAGGGGCTTAAGAAACAAAAAGAATGACAATAAGGGGAAAGAGAGAAAAGTGAAGAAAGAATATACCAAGTTTAATTAACCACCTGCTACTTCTAAAGAGAAGGGGGATGACATGACAAGAGATGATGGAAATCAAAAATAGGTTGCTAAAACAATCAACTAACCTTGGTTAACTATTCAGCCAAAAAAGCAGGAAAGAGTTGTAGCTTAAAATGTCCTCTCTAGCTATAGTAGGTTATAGTTAACTGAGCAACCCAAAACAAAAATGAACTTAGTGTATCAATATAATCCATTGAGGGTACAATTATACATGCCAGGTAATTTTCCACCCATCCAATGGAGACTTAGCTTCTTTCCTCTTATTAAATGCCTTTGAGTCTTCAACTACAAACTTCAACAAATCAGAGAAAAGTATTGGTATCATCCGCTTTTTTAAGAGCTTCCAAAAAAAATTTACTCACCTAAAATAGGCTGAAAAATCTATAAGAAACAAAGACCCTGTAGCCTTATCTGTCAACAAGGCTACATTTAAGTCATTGTTAACTGTGTCACAGTTTGTACATCCATCACTTCAAAAGTAATTAAAGAGTCTAGTAAACGGCCCTAATACATTAATGAGAAAGATGAAAAATATGTTATGACAGAACAAAACCCAACCATGATCAATTTTTAAACACACTCTAGCAAGTTTTTTACTATCAGAAAGCAAAGGATAATTCCTGACAGAAAATAAAAGAGTGAAATTTTCCAATTATACATCAGAGGATTAGTTATAAGATTACAGCAAGAAAGCATATTTTCATAAACTTCAAAATGATTAATGATTGATTTCAGAACTAATTAGTAAGGAATAAAATTTCAAATTAAGAATAAATTTGGAGCTACCCAGTTCTAGGATTCAGAAGCATTTGCAAGTGTAGTGTCCAAGTCAATTTCTATTATCTTAAGCCATGTAAGAAATTTATTTGAATTCTAGACAGTTTTTATAGCATAGCTCATTAAGCAGGCAGCCACTTATTACACATAATTTTGTGTTTTTGAGTAACACCAACAAATCTAGTGGAATTTACAGAAACAGCAAAAATCTAGGATCAGCACAAGAGTTACAAAGAATACTTACTAAAAGTGCAACAACACATCTTGCCTCTCATGTTATCTTTCAAAGAGAATTGAGAAAGATATATGCTATGGGTGTCATGGAAGCAAGGCGAATACTTTTATTCAATGGAAAATTAAATCAAGAAAATGTTTCATAGTGATTCTGTTTTCACTGTTCCTTGATTTTGACATTTTCCCCAAAGACAAAGTTTGGTTAGGCAGAAGCTAATGCTTTGCAATAATTCTTACCAAACGGAATGTGTAAGAATCTGCATATATTATGCGAATATAATCTTTAAGGAAGACATAAAACTATTTGATTTCCAAATATAGGGTTGGCTTGGGTTCACAGGTAGTTCTTGCATCCTAAGTTATATTAATAACATTCTGGCATTGTTACACAAAGCCTCAGACTTTGTGTAAATGTGTAACTCATTATTTCTGCTGAAGAACAATGTCAAATATTTGCAATGCAAAAGCATAGAGCAAGTCCTGCCCATCAATAAAGTGTAACCTCAGGGGCGCCTGGGTGGCTCAGTGGGTTAAAGCCTCTGCCTTCGGCTCAGGTCATGATCCCAGGGTCCTGGGATCGAGCCCCACATCGGGCTCTCTGCTCGGCGGGGAGCCTGCTTCCCCCTCTCTCTCTGCCTGCCTCTCTGCCTACTTGTGATCTCTCTCTGTCAAATAAAGAAATAAAATCTTAAAAAAAAAATAAAATAAAATAAAGTGTAACCTCACAGAGATATCAAAGGGGAATTTTTGCCTGTAATACATTAAAATCGGAACTTACGTGTCATTTTGATAAGCCAGGCTTGATGTTTTTCAAAGCAAATGTGGCACTTTAATTTTCAAAAATATATTCTTCACTTTATGTTATCTGTCTCTTATAAAAGGCTCCTTGGACCAACCATGAAAGATACTCTTTTGCCAAAAGAGTCCCCCCCAGACACCAACAAATAAACAAAAATATGATATTGTGAAAAGAATTACTTCTCAGAAATTTGAGTGGAGTTGAAAAGACCAGTCATCAATTGGCAGATTCTAACTTAGGGCAAACAAGTAATTTATAATGGCTTTTTCAAAGAAAAAAATGTATGTGAAATTTATTCTACTTATTTTCTTTGTATGTTTAAAAACCAGAAAAGGAAACAATTCTTCTCAGTTTGATGCTGAGACTTTGCCACTACCCCATCTAGTCTTGCGCATGACCATAGATCTAAGCCCCACGGATGATTTACTGATTCTGTATGAAAGCAGATGGGTGTATGTGTTAGGACAGTGGCACCAGACTTTGAGCAAGCTGGTTGTTTTTGTTTTTGTTTTTTTAAAGAAATGCATGGTATTCTTGCTGCATTCTTAAGTTACCTCTTGGTAAATGCTGAGGAAACATTCTCAGGCTCATCATACCCATATTCACCCAGATGTTAGACTGCTGTGTCCGAGTGGCAGGCTGCTGTCTTAGGAAGAGAAGATAGCGAGGAAATAACTCCAGCTCTGGGATTTCTGTCTTGCTATTCTTGATCACCTATTGTTATAAAAGATATAATGTGATCACTATAAAAGAAGAAACAAAATTTGTCATTTTTTATCGAATTTCTGAGATTTATTTTGAAACTAAAATGTTCAATAGGTTCACTACTTGTATTTGTTAGATTACAGAGATTGATAGATTTAAATTATATGGGTTTAAATACTCTCAGGCTCCTGGTCCTAAACTCATCTTCCAAGATTTGAACTCCTGGTGAGTATTTTCTCCTCTTTTATTTAAAAGCAAGTAACACTGAAATTAAGGGGGGAAATCTTAAATATTATCTACAATTATATTACCTTCACACTATAATTCTTCTCACTTTTACATACTTCATGTATATAAATGATGGTCTTTTTTGTTTTTGTTTTTTTTAAAGATTTCATTTATTTGACAGAGAGATGCAGCAGGACAGGGAATACAAGTAGGGGGAGTGGAAGAAGGAGAAGCAGGCTTCCTGCAGAGCAAGGAGCCCGATGTGGGGCTTGATCCCAGGACACTGGGATCATGACCTGAGCCGAAGGCAGATGCTTACCACCTAAGCCAACCAGGCACCCCTAAATGATGGTCTTTTAAGCGACAAATTCTTAGGACTGGAGCTATAAGTCAAAAAGTATGGAAGGCCGTATCATTAACTGTCTAAGTCATTTTGCCACCTGAAGTGTAGCAATTTACAATATCCTCAGAAATTTATGAATGTACTTCCCTCATAAAACCTTATCAGTGGACATTATTTGAAAATACTTGGTTTCTTTAACACATATAAAAAGAGTATTATAAATATGCCTAAAATTTTATTTCTTAGGTTTTTTTTTTTTTAAAGATTTTATTTATTTATTTGACAGACAGAGATCACAAGTAGGCAGAGAGCCTGATGCAGGGCTTGATCCCAGCATGACCTGAGCCTAAGGCAGAGGCTTTAACCCACTGAGCCACCCAGGTGCCCCTCTTGTATTAGTTTTAAGAATAGAAATGTTTTCATATAAAAAATTTGCTATGTTCTACTATAACTGGTTTGTTCCATGTATTTTTGTCTATGATTAAACCAATTACTCTGGATGCACAAAATTGAGATTCATGTTTAAACAGGATTTTTTAGTAACCCCCTCCAAATAATATGCTTGCCAGCCCAAAGATACAGGAAAACATTTCATTATAAAAATATCGCTCTAGGAATTTTAAGAGTAGAACATTATCAATTTAGTATTCCAAAAGGAGAGCAGGATTAACCTACTTTAAAACACAAAATCCTACACAATCTTTAAGAGTCTCAAGTGAGCAGGTTTTATTTTATTTCCCTCTGCCCTAGTAACCAATGTCTTCTGCAGTAGACCATTTTCCAATATCAAGAGGGAGCAGTAAAGAACCAAATGAAAACAATGCTACAAACCAAATCTTTAGGACTTTTTCTTAACAGTATTCCACATGTTCTGTTATTCTACAGTATGGCACTTGAAAAGCTCCACTGGGCAGCTTTTTCAAATCCTACTTAAATAATAAGCAAGAAAGGGCTCTCCCTGGTATTCTATACTGCTGGAAGAAGTCTGTCCACTTCTGGGCAGGCACTAACAGTTACAAAGGCTTGTGTGAGGCTCTGAAAATGCTCTTAATGATGATGATGATATTAGCAATGGTCAACATTTACTGACCACTTACTATAAATCAGATGCTGTGTTAATCATATGTATTATTTAATTATCAAAACAACTCTAATGAAGTAGATACTGTTACCTCCATTTTACAGAGGAGGAAGAAACTAAGATTTAGAGACTGGAACACTGGTAATCCAAATTTAGGCAGACTCTAAAACATCAAACTATATGTATGTCAAAAACGATTATCACAGTGTTTTCCCAGATATATTCCCAGATATAGAATATTAAGCTAGAGCTGGAAAGTCCCAGAAATTAAGCAACTAACTGAAGGATTACCCCACCTCTCAATAAATAAAGTATATATGTTTAAGCATCTCTATATATTTGTATTTATACGCATCTTCTAGGAGTTCTGATGCCAAATACAGTAGGAACCTTTTGGAGCCAACAAACTCAAAGCCCAAATTCCTGATTCTGACTTGAACACAATTCTTAATAAACATAATTATTAATAAGTCATAATCAACATCAAAATTATAGACTAAGGCTTTATAGCAGACTTCTACTCTCTTTGGAAGTGATCTAAGTCACTGTATCTCATTTATGCCAACTTTTCTGGTATAAGAAGATTCTATCTCAGACATTGTATGATGGAGAGTGCTTCCTGATCTACAAAAGGAACCTTATTACGAAGCATTTTACTGCACTGATAATGCAAAGAGTATTCAGGGTATGCGTCCTGTTGCTTACAGTATAAGCCCAACAGTATAATGGTATAGTTAAATCACTCATGTTTTGTTGTTATATTCTTCAAGTCTTTTAAATCACCTTAGAGCATTTTATTTATGCTCTGAATGACTCATCCTAGTAATGGTGACAATCAGAATTCACTTGCTTGCATTCCTGTTATGATCATTTTTGTGTCCTTCTTTCAAAAAGACGAGACACAAAAATCCACCAACAACTACGGGATGAACCAATCCCTAACTGGATGCCTGTGTGGTTAATGAAAATAACAGTCTCAGAAGTAATCACTGCACCACTTCCCCTATATTCACTGAACTTTTTGGCACTGGTTCTCAGACTTCTGCTCCAGCCTAAGCCCTATATCATTCTAAAGTCTATGTTTATATGGATGGCTTATTTAATAGCCTAGCCTAACAATTCCTTGACTTAAGTCTAGTGACTATTTCCTTCAGCCCAGGTAAGACACCCATTTCCACAGGCACATCACTGTAGAGCTGGTACTAATACAGTGCTTGGTTAATGTATGAATAAATGAATGAATAAGTGATTAAATATAAAGGAACCTAAATTTTGTTCAACTAATTTATAGGTACTGAGCACTCTGCTATCATAAGAAAGAACTAATTTGTGGATAGTGGGATTCACATAGGAAAGTAATGGAAGACCCAAAATAGGACTGTTCCTTATATAAAGCTCCACTGGTTATACTTACAGGTCTAGGTAGAGCCAGGTTTGCTCCATACCAGTGATAAAGTGCTCTCCACACAGGTTCTGGGACCATTTCATAATCTCTTCCATGGATCAGCTGTGGGGTTCGTTTTAATCGTCCTCCTTCTAGTGTTAGTGATGTAGCCTTAGAAAGAATGGAATACAAATGTTGGTTTTTAATATTTTTAGTATTACAGTCTCTTGTGTTTTAACAAAATCTAGATACAGGAGAACAAACACATATGTCACTACTCAGTTTCATGTTACTGGAAAATCATTTTCTAAAAGAGATTTTTATTTTTAACTTCCAAAGTAAATTATTTAAGAAAGAGAAGTCAAGGCAAATCATTTGAAAAATCATTGGAGCATTTGGAAATAAGACTGGTTTTCACAGATTTCTTTCAAACAACAGAAAATATTATTTTGGAAAAAAAAATTCCACATACACATAAAACTACATTTTCCCAGTAGCTGTCCTAAGTAAGAATATTTCTAAGGATTACTACACTGCTTCTGTGCAATTACTAAATCATAAAATATCCTCATGGAAATATACTATGCAGAGACACCCACCTACAACAGGTTAATTTAATGAACCGTGAATGTATGAATGTCATGCTATACATTAAAACCTCTAGAATGAAACTTACTTGTCACCTGAAAGGGAATTATTTTAAGTAGATGTCATATCACCTACCTTTACAGGTTCTTGAGTTACTAGTGGCTGGTTATCAATAGCCCCTGGTTTCTGAGGATTGAGATGCAATAAAATATTCCCATTGGCTCCTAGCAAACACTGGTTGTTATTGTCAGAAGTGTTATGTTGTCGAGCAAAGCACATATCTGCCCCTGGTGTGGCAGAATACAGAAAGCCTGTAAGGGAAAAGAGGATGGAATCTCTTTATTTGTAGTTATTATACATAAATAAGCTTGAAGATATGAACTCAATGTCCATGTCAGTACAGTATAAGATTCTGGCAACTCTGTAGAAGATAGGAAATATACACGTAATCCTTCTGGACAACACCTAGCATAACACTAGGTGGAAGAAAAGCTTTAAAAACTGTTACCAAATTACCAAATGAAGCCCCTGACTGGCACAGTCGGGTAAGTGCCCGACTCTTGATTTCAGCTCAGGTCATGATCTCACAGTCATGAGATCCAGCCCGTGTCAGGCTCTGTACTCAGCATGGAGTCTGCTTGGGATTCTCTTTCTCCCTCTGGCTCCCACTCCCTTCACCCTGATTCACATGCTCTCTCTCTAAAATAAATAAACACAAATCTAAAAAACCACAACAACAAAAAAAAACCCACGACCAAACTGTGGCCAAATGAACATGTGGCCAGCCTCCTAAAATATCTAGTAACTCACAATAATTATACATCTTTTAATAGAAAAGGAAGATGTATGGCCAAATAGCTGGGCTTTCACAGAGTCACCCTTAATTCTTCTTTTCCACCTGTAAACACATTCCAAATGTTCTTAAGAGACTGGTCATAAGAAGTCTTTAAACCAAAGCGAAGGAGCTAAAACAAGAACTCTTAACAGAAGAGTGCCAGGGAGGAGGGATCTTTCCTAGTAAATTTATTTCAAAGGAAGGCATGTCAGGTTACAATAGAAAAATGCACACAGAAAAATGATTAATAATGACTTAAGAGTTGTGAACCCCAATGGTATTTTAAGGTATTTCAACTCTGGGGGCGCCTGGGTGGCTCAGTGGGTTAAGACTCTGCCTTCGGCTCAGGTCATGTTCTCAGGGTCCTGGGATTGAGCCCTGCATTGGGCTCTCTGCTCAGCAGGGAGCCTGCTTCCCCCCACTCTCTGCCTATTTGTGATCTCTTTCAAATAAATAAATAAAATCTTAAAAAAGAAATGTACTTCAACTCTGAACAATAGACTAACCATTCTAGCCATCAATCGGGTAAACATTCTAGCCATCAGCCACTTTAAACCTTTCGTGTGGGGCACTGCTCAGACTATGGATAGCACAGGACCTTAGAGAGGGTTAAAAATAATCTTGGTGTTAAAAAATAATCTTGGTGTTAAAGCTCATCAGAGACAGAACTTCTAGGAGTGCTAAATGATTGCTATAATATCAGATGGGGAAGGGGTTCCTGGGTGGCTCAGAGGGTTAAGCCTCTGCCTTCGGCTCAGGTCTTGATTTCAGGGTCCTGGGATCAAGCCCCATATTAGGCTCTCTGTTCAGCAGGAAGCCTGCTGCTCTGCCTACTTGTGATCTCTCTGTCAAACAAATAAAATTTTTAAAAAATCTTAAAAAAAAAAAATCAGATGGGCAAGAAGGAGTAGATTCTACAAAGAACTTTGTAGAGAAGAGGCTAGCTCTGTCCGATTTGCCGGATCTCAGAGATGAAGTAAGAGTAAGCTTGAGAGTACTGCCACTGTTATCAGCAGAGGGATCAGCTCAACTCAGCTATGCCACAAAAACATCAAAGAATTTTCCCCAAATGTGTAGAAACACTGAGTTTTAGGTAGGACTAAAGGACTGCAAAGGATTATGGGATGCATTTTGACTTTTTCTCAATAGTTTCTCAAAATAAACCCCTAATTCCAGCCTGAAATGTCTGCAGAATCTAATATGAGGGTGCACTTAACCCAATGAAGGCAGAGAGAGTCTTGGAGATGGAAAAACTATCTCTCCAAATGACTGACAAAATAATTAAATAGCGATATGGAGAGAAGTAGCTTTAATCAATGAAAATAGTGAAAAAAATATATATATGTATATATATATATATGGATATATATATATACATATATATTTAAACAAATGAACTTATTTAAGTAGGCTCATGCCCAATCTGGGCCTTGAACCACAACCCTAAGACCAAGAGCTGCGTGCTCTACTGACAGAGTCAGCCAGGTACCCCAACAGCGAACATATTTTCAAATTGAGAGATTCATGAAATAGAATACAGAAGAGTTTCTCTTTGTAAAGCTACTAATATATTCAAGAATTTTATAACTGACCATTTCATTTAAAACTTATTTCTGTGAACGGACGTCTGGTTATATCCTACGAAGCACATTCTCTGACAAAGTATACACTTTTAAGAAGTGACCTTGAATAAACTTTATGGGAAGCAAGCCATCTTACCACTGCCAGCAGTTTCTGAGGCTTCAGATGCAGAAGAAATGTTGTCTGAAAACTTCTCTTCTGTGGTATTCACATAGCTGAGGCTGCCTCCTCCGATTCTATCTTCACTCTGCTCTATACAATGTACTGCTGTTCCAAATGAGTATTTCCCTCCATTCAGAACAGATGACGGCTCAATTACAACAGGGCTGGCATCCTAAAAAATCACGAGGTCAGAAATTAAAAGGCACAATTTAATAATCCAAGCACTAAGCAGGTTTCGAAAATGAATCTCTGAATTATCTATCGCTTTTAATCCTCCTGTAGTTAGCTACTGCCAATTAAGAACATTTTAATCTGTAACTAAATTTCAGTTTTTTCAAAGGGGAAGAGTGTGTGTAAATAAAATTGATGAAGCAGATTGGGGACACATAGCACAAAGGACTCTGACACAAAGGGAGAGAGTGATGTATGTACGTATGTGTGTTTATTTTATTTAAATATCTTTTTAAAATCTTTTTTTTAAAGATTTTATTTATTTATTTGACAGAGAGCACAAGTAGGCAAAGTGGAAGGCAAAGGGAAAGAGAGAGAGAAGCAGGGTCCCCGCTGAGCAGGGAGCCCCATGGGAGCCCCACGCCGGGCTCAATCCTAGGACCCTGGGATCATGACCTGAGCTGAAGACAAGATGCTCAACTGACTGAGTCACCCAGTGCTCCTGTTTATTTATTATCTTCTAAAGTAAGCTCTATGCTCAACGTGGACCTTAAAAGCGTGACCCTGAGATCAAGAGTTGCATGCTCTGGGGCACCTGAGAGGCTCAGTTGTTTATTAGCATGTGCCTTCAGCTCAGGTCATGACTCCAGGGGGTCCTGGGATCCAGCCCAGCATACAGCTTCCTACTTGGTGGGAAGCCAGCTTCTCCCTCTTCCACTCCCCCTGCTTGTGTTCCCTTTCTCCCTGTCTCTCTCTGTCAAATAAAGAGAAAATATTCGGGGTAGGGTGGGGAAAAGAAGGTCCTTCTTACTCATGGGAGGGTCAGCTTTTTTTTTTTTTTAAGATTTTATTTATTTATTTGACGGACAGAGACCACAAGTAGGCAGAGAGGCAGGCAGAGAGAGAGGAAGGGAAGCAGGCTCCCTGATGAGTAGAGAGCCCAATTCGGGGCTCCATCCCAAGACCCTGGGATCATGACCTGAGCCAAAGACAGAGGTTTTAATCCACTGAGCCACCCGGGCACCCCAAGGGGGTCAGCCTTTAAAAAAAAAAAAAAAAAAAAAGGTGAGGGGGCATTGCATGCTCTACCGACTGAGCCAGCCAGCCGGCCGGCCAGGTGCCCCTGACACAAACTAATTTAGGCCTTTATTCTGTCAAAATCTGAAAATTATGGAAGGTTTCTTTAAATATTTAAAAAACTAAATAATATTTATTTTTTTATTATTACAGATTACACTGTCACTGCAAGAACTACAGAAGAATATCATAAATATGCTAAATGATCCCATCATTCAGCATTAACTACAGTTGATATTTTGGTGTGTTTCCTTTATTTTTTCATGACTGAAAACATACACATACATGTAAAAAATAAATAGTGTGAAATATATAGTTAGAACTAAGGGCAGTGCTCTGACTTACCAGCTATGTAACCTTTCAGGATAACTTTTTTGAAAATAGGCTCCACACCCAGCATGGAACCCAACAGAGGTCTTGAACACACGACCCTCAGATCAAGACCTGAGCTGAGATCAAGAGTCAGATACTTAACTGATTCCCGACCCACCCAGGTACCCCCACAATAAGTAAATTTCTAAGCCTTGGATTCTTCATGGGTAAAAATCAGGGTAATGTTAGTATCTATCTCAGAGTTACTGTAAAGATTACTTGAGCAACACATGTAAAGTGCCTGGTGTTTAGTAAATATGAACCATCATTCTGGTTTCTATAAAACTGGTATTACATTTTAAACACAGCACAGAATTTTTTCTTTCGTTTAACATTATATCCACAGGATTTTTCTGTGAAAGGCTTTCAAATGGAACAGTATAATCCATTTTTTGCTTTCATAAGTACTCCACAGAAAGGACCAGAGGCAGAAATGGAAACCTGAAACACAAGTTAGAGGGCTCCTATACTGGGGCACCTGGGTGGCTCAGTCACAGCTCTTGATGTCAGCTCAGGTCATGATCAGGCGCTGTGATGGGCTCCTTGTTCAGTGGGGAGTCTACTTGAGATTCTCTCTCCCCCTCTCCCCTTCCTGCACAGTCTCTCTCTCTCTCTCAAATAAATGTAAATCTTAAAAAAAAAAAAATAAGGCTCCTATAATAATTCAAGGCAAGAGATTGTAAGGTAATAAACCATAAAGATAGATCCAGAAGTAAGGAGATGGAGAGAAGAACATGGACTAAGAATACATAAGAGGTGAAAAAATTTGACAACTAATTGTGTATAAAAAAGAGGCAAAGATAATTCCAAGGTAGAACCTGAGGTGCTGGTGTAGATGACTAAATGGGAGTTGACACCTTTATAAGATAAAGTTTATGAGTTAATGGGATCATCTGGGAGAATGAGCTTATTTTGGGATATTCTTTTTGAGTTACCTGGGACACTTGAGTCTTGTGCTCAGGACAGAAAAGAGAGGCAGAAGATAAAAATTTGAAGGTCAAGAGCCTTCCTGAAGCCAAAGAACATGGTGTATGTAAAATAAGGGGAGAATAATATTTATAAAATCTGTAATGTAAGAATCTAGAGTCTGAATGATGAAAGAAAAATCAAGAGATTGTACAGTACCAGAACTTGAGATGACTAGCACAGAATTATTTTCTACTTAGTGATAGAAAAACAGAAAGATAAGACTCTGAGAATGTATATCTATGAAGATCAGGATATTTGTAACTGAGAGGGTAAAGAGACTAAAGGGATTTATCAGTGAAACAAGGTCCAAAAGGCATCTGAGAAGATATACAATAGCATGGGTAGAAGAACTCAAGTGGCATTCAACAAACACTGACATGCGTTTTATAGAAAAAAATGATTGTTGAAGGCACAGCTTATAAAACAAATGACCCAACCCAAGAAAAATATCCAATTTAAAAGACAAGATCCAAGTAACACCATAGCAATAGCATAGTGGGACCTCTAGTTTCTTTTAATGCAATTAGAACATCCCTAATTTTAGCCCAGAGAGGCACTGGATCAACATTTTATTAGATGCTTTCTCCTATGTCATCTATAAGCCAGGTGAATACTATCAATTTATAGATCCTTCAGAAGCCAGCTCTGAAAAAATTTCAATGCCTTTAACTGAAAGAGTGGCAAGAAGAATGAGAATAAAACCTAGATTCCTTTCTACAAACCAATTCAATTTTGGGATTAAATTTTTTTTTTAAGATTTTTATTTATTTATTTGACAGAGATTACAAGTAGGCAGAGGAGATAGGCAGAGAGAGAGGAGGAAGCAGGCTCCCCGTTGAGCAGACAGCCCGATGCGGGGCTTGATCCCAGGACCCTGGGACCATGACCCGAGCTGAAGGCAGAGGCTTTAACCCACTGAGCCACCCAGGCGCCCCTGGGATTAAATTTTTCAAAATAGCAATTGTTAAAACTGCAAACAATTCAGAAGCATGTAGATTCTTTATTATAGATCCTAATGTTGGCATCTTCTGTCATTTAATATGTTTCCTAAAGTGTAGGAAAGGTACTAGATTATTTTGGGTATTAATAACTAGTTCACAGTGAAAAAGTTATTCCCTATTCAGTTCTCTCTCAATCCTCTAATTACTTCAAGGAAACAGTCCCCGTTTGGTACTGATGTGCTAATCTTTTTTTCCTAATGTGCTAATCTAATACTTAATCTGCTAATGTAACACCTGATAATTTCTCTTTTTAACAGAGAACAGACCTTAATACTATTCTTTAAAGGGCAACACTGTTTAGCTGGAATTTGATATTATATCTTATTTTCACTGAATTTATTTTTATCTTGACCTTCTATTTCTGGAGTGTGACACTGATTTTCTACTTAAGATGTTGATATAAAGTTTACTTTTAAAATACATTTATTTACATAAAAATGATAAAGTTATTTAAATAAACACATTAAGCACATAATTATATGGCAAAATATGATGGCCATAGTACACAAATGCCTAAAAACTGGGAATCTACGTTAAATATGGATTTGGGGCCATTAGGATTTTATTTCTTTTTAAGTAAGCTCTATGCCCAACATGGGGCCTGAACTCGTGATCTGGCAAGAAAGAGATGCATGTTCTACCGAATGAGCCAGCGAGGCGCCCCCCCCATCAGTATTTTAAATTAGACTATCCACCAAAGAAGTCAAATTGTATGTACAATGAAACAAAAATGACCTATGGCCAAAGAATTAGAAACGTAAACTAGGCTTGAGTAGTTTATATTATTAATCCTATGTTTGGCCTTTTGTGTGTGGATTTCATGGCAATTTCTTAAAGATAATACTGATCTTCTCAAAGATAATACTGATCTTCTCACAGCTTTTCTGATGTTGAGCCCATACCAACAGAAATGGGTTTAAATTTCAAATTTTTTAGTAAATAAGATGACTTATTTATATTAATTCAATTTTCCCCCCTCCCCAATTATACTTTCTGATTTATTTGGTCTGGAGAGGAACAGAGGCATTTTTTTTTCTCTTTTTGTAAAGGCCTTTATGTGATCCTACTATGTAGTCAAAACTGATAACCACTGCCCCAGTGAGGATTATAGGCTCATACTTTTGTTTTTATAATGTGCTCCCAATGCTGAGAGTAGAGTAGTAACTGATTTCTTACTGAATGTACTACTTCCTCTGGAACTTGCTTTTTAGGAAGATTCAGATTTTTAATGAACTTTTGGGTCATTTGCTTCTTTCCTATAAAGATGTGAGTAAAACTAGTAAGATAGCCATTTTGAAAGAACAACTTAAAATTTTTAAGTCTTCTCTCAGGTTACTTCATTTATCCTCCAGAAAAATCTTTTATTTTTGCTACAAGTGTTTCTGAACTTAAATGATGTCCACGTAACTATCATGTGGACTTGACAGGCAACTCTTTTTTAAAATTTATACTCATTTCTCTATTCCATTTATTTTAAGTTTGTTTATGCACTGTAACTCACTTTTTAAAAATATGCAGTAATTGGGGCGCCTGGGTGGCTCGGTGGGTTGAGCCTCTGCCTTTGGCTTGGGTCGTGATCTTGGGGTCCTGGGATCGAGCCCCACATCAGGCTCTCTGCTCCGCGGGGAGCCTGCTTCCCCCTCTCTCTCTGCCTGCCTCTCTGCCTACTTGTGATCTCTGTCAAATAAATAAATAAAATCTTTAAAATAAATAAAAATATGTAGTAATATACTTTGAGGAAGACTGGGTCTCCTTTAATTATACCTGAGGAAAAAAATTCCTTTAAGCTTTCCTCTGAGTTTGACATTTAGCAGAATTTCAAAGAGAAACATTTGGAATTGTATTTTAAATCTTTAAAAAAGGTTTATTTATTTATTTGAGAGAGAGAACGAGAGAGCTGCACAAGCAGGGGAGAAGGAAAGGAGCAGAGGGAGATGGAGAAGCAGACTCCAGCTGAGCAGGGAGTCCAACTCGCTCGATCCCAGGACCCTGGATTATGACTTGAGCTGAGGGCAGACACTTAACCTAAGACTGAGCCACTCAGGCCCCCAAGGTTTGGAAATCTTATATATAGCTTATATTTCTAAAGAAAACTTACATGAAACTTTTTTTTTAAAAGATTTTATTTATTTATTTGACAGAGAGAGAGAGATCACAAGTTGGCAGAGAAACAGGCAGAGAGAGAGGGGGAAGCAGGCTCCCTGCTGCGCAGAGAGCCCAATGTGGGGCTTGATCCCAGGACGCTGGGATCATGACACGAGCTGAAGGCAGAGGCTTTAACCCACTGAGCCACCCAGGCGCCCCTGAAACTTTTTTTTTTAAGATTTTATTTATTTATTTGACAGAGAGGTCACAAGTAGGCAGAGAGGCAGGGAGAGAGAGAGGGGGAAGCAGGCTCCCTGCTAAGCAAAGAGCCCGATGCAGGGCTCCAATCCCAGGACCCTGAGATCATGACCAGAGCCGAAGGCAGAGGCTTAACCCACTGAGCCACCCAGGTACCCCTAAATGAAACTATTCTTATTTCTTATTCTGAAAAGCTTAGTCCTTAGGATGAAATCTATAGATATCATTGGTAAGAAAATGGGGTGATAAAAGTATTACCAGGCATTAAATCTGTTAAGTTTTATAATAATTCAGCAACAGAATAATTGTAATAGCATATCAGAGACTGCAATTTTTGTCACCAGCGACTGCACACTATACCATATGCTTTTAACATGGTGCAGTGAGATACCCTTTTTAGATAGAGAATAAAGGCTTTTCTTCACTTATTTTCCAATGTTCCAACTAGAGTGGTCTATCTTCTCATTGTCTGGCTTGTTTTTCTATTCTAGGAATCTACTGCTCTCAGTGTTGGGCCATGTCTGAAACTGCCACCATTACTAAGGTTCTTTCTTCCTCCCCCTTCTCTGTCCTATTTTTCAGGTCATTGCTTCCACCCTTGTCTTTCAGTGAAATTGTCAACATTTTCAGTTGACTAATCTTATGACTACTTTCCTTCTACATCTTAAACAAATCAATAATGGTCATATACACAGTCACTGGCTCTGAGTGTTATTTCCAGTTGCTCTGGGAAAGTTTTTCCCCTTAAATGTCAAAGGGTCTTGTTTTGTTTTTACTGACTTCCGGCTCTGGAACTCTTAGCAACTACCCTGTGTTTCTCTAGGTAGATAAAGTTTCACCAATGGTGAAAAACTTCATCCTCCTCTGAGCTCTGAGTCACTGACTCCCAAAAGGGATATGTGGCACTTTAATATAATTCTACTTTGAGCATGTCATGATTTCTTTTGAGTTGTGTCAGTGTTTAATGATATTCCAAAATAAGGGTCAGGATTCACTTTCTTCTCTATCAATGATGATGCTACTTTTTTCTATACATATGTATACTACAACTATTAATGAACCTAACTACTAGTTATGCCAATTTTATATTTCATTAGTCTGCAATGCTGGTTTTTAAAAAATGGAAGGTAGTATGGAGTAATGGAAAAAGTACTAAGATAGGAGTCAAGAGACCTGAAACTAGAAAATCTAGATCAGGAATAAAATAATTGCCCAATACAACTCTGTGCAATTACAAAACCCAAAGGGCCCTCAGAAGCTTTGCAAGTTTGGAAAAGAGAAGTGCTTAAAGTGCTTTCTAACTCCAAAGTCACATACCAACCAATAATACATAATGAATAGTAAAATCTGTACATGAGTAGTAAGAGCTGCTCTCTCAGCTCTCAAACAGGAGGGAAGACAAGAATATATACTACAATGATGACAGAAAAGATTTCACCATTTCTCCCAGTTTACATTTGTGCAAAAGGAGATTTCACACAGTAGAAAAAAAACTTTGGCTCCATAAAGAACAGATCCTACGAGCAGATCCAAAATTCAAACTCAAGTCAATCATTCATATCTGAGGCAAGACACTTCTGAGAAAGGATTGCTTATTTTTCCTGTTCCCTTAGTCTCTATTTAGACATGCTGCTGTCTGAAAGATACAGTCTGCCCTCATAGACAATTAGTAATTCACATCAACAAACACGCCATTTTATGAAGAGACATTAAATAAAGCTAACGGATTTCTTATTAGGTGGGCAGACTAAGCCCAGAGGAAATTACCCAACACACTGGAAATATCGATTATTTTTCTTAAACAAAGCATTTGCCAAAATTGCCATATATACTGGAAAGGCAAATATAAATCACTAATTACTACTGCTACTGCTGCTGAAACCCCTGCTAATATTACTACCATTACTTCCTCTAACTTTACATTGGGTCCTACCTGCCTGGCATGGGGCTGAGTGCTTCATCTATGTTAATTCATTTAATTCTCTGTAATAACCCTATTGAAATAGGCATCATTATTAACCCTGTTGTTTGTATGAGAAAACTGAGGTACAGAAAGGATAAGTAACTTGTTCAAGGTTATACCACAAGTAGCAGGACCAGGAGGACCCTAACACATGGGTCACTACTATTATCCTATAAGAGGATAACAGCTCACTACTATTATCCTGTACTGTTTTCTCAGACTACTAGCTAATACTTACTGAGTTCTTACTATGTGCCAGACACTGATCTAAAATGTTTAACATGTATCGACTCCTTTAATCTTCATAACATCCTGTCATGGAGGTAACTGTTCTTTAATGTCGTTTTACAGACGGCAAGAATGTCACTTTTTAAAAAGGTGATTTGCATTTATTTTATTTATTTATTTATTGCATTTATTTATTTTTTTAAAAAGATTTTATTTATTTGAGAGCGAGAGCACATGAGCAGGGCAGAGGGAGAAGGAGAAGCAGATGCTCTGCTGAGCTGGGAGCCCAACAAGGGGCTTGAGAGTCAGATACTTAACTGACTGAGCTACCCAGATGCCCCTGACCAACTTCATTTTAGAGTAAACTTTAAAAGTCTGCATTTGACAGACACATACTGGACAGTAATACAGAATGCCACAGTGGATAGAATACAACCCTTAAGTGTAATTTCCCCCTCCACATCTTTCTCTGGCAACCCTCCACTAATTCTTTTAATGCACAGAAGGGTTACACAGGTGAGAGCAAATCAGGTTTGTGTTCTCCTCAGTGCACTTCTGTTTATAAGGGATGTGCTGGTACGAACAAGACCATGTTCCTACAGAAATAAAAAGTAATACTTCAAAACACAAAATGAGGTATCACTTTGAGTCCGCAGCCAGTAAAACATTAATAACCACTCATTCCAAGGCCAATCTAAGAACATAAAGGACAAAAAACATTTCAACACAGACTGTGATGCTTTACCCCATGTTTTCATTCTCTACTTACAATAACCATCATTATCTACCTACAGGGTTTGAAGTCATTTGCCTACTTTTCTACTCCTTCAACAACACTGATTAATGTATTTTATATGTGAAAACACAGTGTTAACCCTGCAAAACAGAAAAAGAACCAGGCATAATAATTAAGTAGATAATAAAACAATCTACCAATATTGTGATTAAAAAATAAGGATAGAAAAGGACATAGAGAAAAAAAAATAAAAGTCAAAAAACCAGGTTAGTGATTATTTGGTAACTAACAATGAGTCTACATACCAACTGGCTCTCCAAGTATGGAGAAATTGGATTCCTGGAATTACTCTGAGTCTTTTAATTCTAAAGAAAAATCCATTCCATTTTAAGTACGATGAGAATATTCTTCACTAATGACAATTTCTCTTTGAACTCTTTATTTGGAACAATGGCAGATTCTCAATTAGAAACTGAGTTCTAATGTTAGTCCTGAAATTAACTTTTTAAATAGAAAATCAGCACTTCTTACCCAAGGGTCTTCAACATTTTGATGAAAAAGGTGAACAAATGAAGGATAATGTAAATGATGTGGTTGAGACACCACTGGCTTAAAAGTCAATCCTTAGGTTTGATCCCAGAACTCTACCCTGTATTTAGGTTACCTTTAATCTCAGCCTCAGGTTCATCACAGGTAAAATATGTTAATACCACCTTCCTCCCAGAGATACTGTGAAGATCAATTGAGATACGCAAGGTGCATATGCATGCACCCCCATGTCCACGGTTACCTTCCTTGCAGAGCTGTTGCAAGGGAGGAAATTTATGTGGAAGTGTAAGAACAGAGCTTGGTCTGTGGAAGTATCACATAGGTATTCGTTTCCTTCCCCTTCAAATCCTTATCTACACCGAAGCATTTCATTACTGGCCAATAGTCACACAAAGTCTGATGGAGCTGAAAATCCTTTGTAATATGTAGATAAAGGGGAATCATACTCACATATTTCACATATTCTTTCCACTGCTGCCACCACTGCATGGAGATGATAAACCAGTTGTGTCCTGGTTGCAGACCATACCTGCTCTCTCGTTCTAACCACCCTCTGTACATACAAAAGAAATTCAGTACATCAAATGGCATATGAAACAGATGATCACACACACATCCAGAAATTATTAGAAATTTTTACAAAGTAAAAACATGACACGGATATACTACAGAGACTGCCATAGTTTCAATTAGTCAAACAATGGTAAGTCCATTTCAGGAGTCATAACAACACTATCAAGCTCCATACTCGATGTTTTTAAAAATAGTTTTATTGAGGAATAATTTACATAACATAAAATTTACCTGTATTAAGAGTATAACTCAATGATGGTGGTAAATTTATAGACATGTACAACTATCACCACAATCCAGCAATCCAATTCTAGAACATTTCCATTACCCCCAAAAGCTATCCTGTGTCCACTTGAGTCAATTCATGTTACACTCTCAGCCCAGGAAACCACTAGTCTATTTTCTGTCTCTTACAAATTTCCCTTTTCTGAACATTTCATATAAATGGAGTAATAGAACACATGGTCTTTTACATATGGCCTCTTTGACTTACCATGTTTTTGAGGTTCAACTACATTTTAGCAGATATCATTACTATGTGTTTTGTTATTCCATTCCAAACACTATTTTTTAAAAAGATTTATTCATAGAGAGCGAGTGAGTGAGCACGAGTGGGGGGAGGGGCAGAAGGAGAGGCAGAAAGAGAATCTCAAGCAGACTCCCCACTGAGCACACAGCCTGACACAGGGCTCAATCCTAGGACCGTGAGATCACGACTGGAGCCAAAATCAAGAGTTGCCTGGCTGCTTCACTGACTGAGCCCCCCAAATACTATTTATAATGCATCCCACAGGTATGTATACACCACATATTGTTTACCCATCTAACATCTGATAATTTGAAATTGATAAGCTATTGTCCAAAGTAGCCACACCATTTAACATTTCTATCAGTAATGTATAATGGTTCTAGTTTTTTCACATTCTTGGCAACATGTTTTACCATCTATCTTTTCTATCATAAATATTCAAGTGGGTATGAAGTTGCACCACATTGTGATTTAAAAAAACAGTTTTTACAGAGGAGAAATTCATAACATAAAGTGGTGGTTGTATATTTTGAATGAACCAATGCCACTGAATTGTATGCTTGAAAATAGTCACTTCCATGTTATGTGCATTTCTCCAAAACATTCTCATACATCCCAATTAAGCAGTTATACATTAGGCAGTTATTTCCTATTATTACCTTTCCCCGGCCTTTGATTATCACCTTTCTACATCTATTCATTTACCTATTCTGGATATTTCATATAAATGGAATCCTTCAATATGTGACCTTTTGTATTTGGCCTCTTTCACTTGTGAGGTTCATCCCTGTTGCTGCATGCATGAGTACATGTACCATTTCTTTGTAAGGCTGAATAATATTCCATAGTATGGATATACGACATTTTGTTTATCCATTCATCCACTGATAGCTGTGTGGACTATTTCTACTTACTGGCTAATGCGTATAGTGCTGCTATGAACATCTGTGTACAAGCATTTGAGTTCCTGTTTTCAATGTTTGAGGTATATACCTACAAGTGGAATTGCCAGGTTACATGGTGATCCTGTTGAGGAACTACCATATTTTTTGCAGAGCAGTTACACCATTTTACATTTCTTTTTTTTTTTTTAAGATTTTTTATTTATTTATATGATAGAGATCACAAGTAGGCAGAGAGCATGCAGAGGGGGAGGGGAAGGCAGGCTCCCTGCTCAGCAGAGAGCCTGATGCAAGGCTCGATCCCAGGACCCTGAAACCATGACCCAAGCCGAAGGCAGAGGCCCAACTCACTGAACCACCCAGGCGCCCTCCATTTTACATTTCTACCAGTGATGTATCAGGGCCCCGATTTCTCCAGATCCTCACAAATTTTATTTTCCATCTTAAAAATTATAAACATCTTAGTAAATGCAAAGTAGAAACATTGTGGTTTTGAGTTGCATTTCCTTAATGACTAATGATTTTGAGCATCTTTTTATGTGCCTGATGACCAACTGTCTGTCATATCTACAGAAGTGTGTATTCAAGTCCCTTACCCAATTTTTAGTTGAGTTTTCTTTTTGTTGGTGAGCTGTAGGAGTTCTGGATATATTCTAGTTACTTGATCTCTGGCAGATCTATGATTTACAAATACTATCTCCCATTTGACAAGTTATCTTTTCACTTTCCTGACAATGTGTTTTGATAAAACTTTAATGAAGCTTTAATGAAGACAAATTTATCTTTTTTTCTTCGGTTGCTTATGCTTTTAGTGTCACATATAAGAATTTAACTTAAAATCCAAATCACTCTTGAAAAAATCTTTTTCCCGGATATAGAATAAAAGTACCATTCCGCTCACTTCTGGATTCCGAGATTTCTGATGAGAAACCTGTTGTTAATCCTATTGAGGATCTATTGCGTGTGTAGCTTTTCTCTTGCTGCTTTTTAAAATTTTCTGTCCCCAGGCTTCTGACCATCTGATTATAATGTGTCTTGGTGTGAATCACTTATAGTTTTATCCTTCTTGGAGTTCAGTGAGCTTTCTAAATGTTTAGGTTCACATCTTTTGTCAAATTTGAGGAGTCTGGTGCCATTATTTCTTCAAATATTCTGTCCCTTTCCCTCCTCTTCTTCTGGGATTCCTATCATGTGTATGCTGGTAAGGCTGCTGCTATTTCACAAGTCCAAGAAGCTCTGTTCATTTCCCTTCGTTCTTTCTTCTTCTTCTTTTTTTTTTTTTTTAAGATTTTATTTATTTATTTGACAGAGATCACAAGTAGGCAGAGAGGCAGGCAGAGAGAGAGGAAGGGAAGCAGTCTCCCTGCTGAGCAGAAAGCCCAATGTGGGACTCGATCCCAGGACCCTGAGATCATGACCTGAGCCGAAGGCAGCGGCTTAACCAACTGAGCCACCCAGGCGCCCCCGTTCTTTCTTCTTTCTATTCCTCAGTCTCAATAGCTTCAATTGACCTATCTTTAGATTTTAACTTCTCTCAGCCAAGCTTTGTGATCCTCAATGTATAACAACAGGGGAAAAAAACATTTCTAGCTTGCAGGCTGCATCAAATCCGGCAACAGACCAAAGTTGGTCAGTGGGCCATAGTATAATAATCCATGGCTTAACACATACTTGGTCCTACACAACATTCCATGTGTACTTGAATATGTACTCTGTTGTTGCTGGGGGGTGTTCTGCTGCTGTAGACACATGTATTTACAATTTTTGTATCTTCCTGATGAATTAAAACTTCTATCATTATAAAATGTCTGCCTGTAATAATAATTCTTTGCCTAAAAGCCATTTTTTTCCTAATGTCGGTATATCCACTCCAGCTCTCTTACTGTTACTAGGTGCCTTGTTGTATCTATTCCATCATTTTACTTTCGATCTATTTGTGTCTTTGAATCTCAAGTATTTGTTTTGTTTTGTTTTTTTTAAGATTTTTTAAAAAATTTATTTATTTGACAGAGAGAGATCACAAGAAGGCAGAATCAGGCAGAGAGAGAGGGAAGCAGGCTCCCTGTTGAGCAGAGAGCCAGATGTGGGGCTCGATCCCAGAACCCTGGGATCATGACTTGAGCCAAAGACAGAGGCTTTAACCCACTGAGCCACCCAGGTGCCCCTCAAGTATTCGGATTAAAAATATCAGTCTATCTTAAGCTTTGATAACTGTTTAATCCATTTATATTTAAGGTAATTATTGATACAGATTTGTGCCTACCCTTTTGTTACTTGTTTTCTATTCATCTCAAGTGTATTTGTTTTTCTATTCCTCTTTTACTTTCCTTTTGTTTTAAGTAGTTGTTTTCTACTGTATCATTTTTTAATTTTTTTTTTTAAAGAAACTGTATTTGGGATTATTTTCTTACTGGTTGCTCTAGAGGTATAAAATAAACCTTAACACATGCTACTTCAGATTAATACTAATTTATGCCAGTAAATTATAGAAGCTGCTCAAATACAGCTCTACTTCCTATTCTTTCAGTTGTATTGTCATGCATATGACATCTTTTTATGCTGTAATAACAGCATAGCTTTCAAATTATTATCTTACAATTTTATATTTTATTTTTTTTAAGATTTTACTTATTTGTTTGACAGAGAGAGAGAGATCACAAGTAGGCAGAGAAGCAGGCAGAGAGAGAGGGGGGAGCAGGCTCCCTGCTGAACAGAGAGCTTGATGCAGGGCTCGATCCCAGCACCCTGAGATCATGACCTGAGCCAAAGGCAGAGGCCCAACCCACTGAGCCACCCAGGCGCCCCACGATTTTATTTTAAATAATTAAAAGGATAAAACAGAAAAATGTATTTATACTGTCTAATTTTTAAGTATGTAATTATGCTTACTGGTGCTTTGTATTTCTTTGTGTAGTTCAAATTATTGTCTGGGGTCACTTTGTTTTAGCATGAAGAAGTTCCTTCAGTATTTTAATCCTTCAGTATTTAAGTGTTTACTACCAACAGTGTTATATGAGAATGTTTTCAAATTACCTTAATTTCTGAAGGATAGGTCTGCTGGATAAAGAATTTTAGGTTGACAGTTTTTTCCCCTTCAGCACTCTGAATGTCATCTCACTACCTACTGACCTCCATCCTTTCTATAAAAAAATGGTCAGCCGTTAATCTTACTGGGGTTGCCTTCTACAAGAAGGAGTCATTTTCCTCTTCCAACTTTTAGGATCTTCTCTTTGCAGCTTTGAACAGTTTGTGGTATGTTTAGATGTAGATCTCTGTTTTTAACCTCTCTGCAGTTCATTGAGCTTCTTGGATTAACAACTTAAAGCAATTTTAGGAGGTTTGGCCATCATGTTATCAAGTATCTTTTTCTACACCTTTTTCTCCTCCTTTTGGGACTTCCACATATCTCGGGTTCCATTCATTTTTATTTATTTTTTCTGTTCTTCATATTGGAAAAGTCTATTTAACTCTATTCTATTTTGCTGTTATTTCTCTGTGGCTCCAATCTGTTGCTGAGTCACTGTGGTGAATTTTTGTTTAATTTTCAAC